GATTTCAGCAGATGGTCGTATAAAATATGTATAGAATAGGATACAAAACATTGTGAACATTTAAAATTGGTTTTACTGATAGGAAGCAAACCAGTTTCAAATGCTAACCAATTTGAACAGCAGAAGCTCCAAATTTATAGAACAAACATAAAACTTTGGCCTTCGATTCCATTTAAGTGTAACACGGAAAGGTAGGCATTAGTTCGGGCTCTACTTCTAGCTGCACAGGTTTAACCAGAGCCACCAAGAATAGTATAGGGTGGGACTCAGGAGTTATCTGATTTCATGCTGTGCCGATGCCCCCCTCCTTGTTAACTCCTGACCCACCACGCGGGGGGCTGTCCACCTCCTTCCCGGCCCCCAGAGCCCATCCACAGCTGCACTAGTGTGCTAGGGCCGCCCTAACAAAGTACCAGACTGAGTGGCTTATACAACAGAAATGTATTGTCTCACAGTTCTGGAGGCGAGAAGTCCAAGATCAAGGTGTCACAGGTTTGGTTTCTGCTGAGTCCTCTCTCCTTGGCTTGCAGATGGCCTGTCCTCTGTGCATGCATCCGTCATGTTTCTCTGTGTGTCCAAATTTCCTCTTCTCATAAGGACACCAGTCGTTTTGAACTAGGGTCCACCCTATTGGCCTCATTTTAACTTAATCACCTCTTTAAAGGCCCTATCTCCAAATATAGTCATATTCTGAGGTACTGGAGGTTAGGGCTTAACATTTGAATTTGGGGGGACACAGCTAAGCCCATAACAACAGCCCTCCACAGAGCTCCTCTGAACGGATGGCTTTCCCTCTCAGGAGGTCAGACCCTGGCTCTGGTTGAAGCCCTTTCTTCCTCCCTTGAGGGCCTCTCTCTTCCAGCTGTGCCTTCTCCCTTCCCAACAGCCCCAGATGAAGAGGGGCAGGGGCTTCATGGCTCGGCCAGTCATAGGTGTTCCCTATCCCCTCCTGTATCCATTCCCGAGGGATCTGGCCTTCCCAGTCTCTTCCCCACTAGCGTCTTTGGGCTCTCCCTCTCCACCGAGCCCTAGCCTCCTGCTTTCAAGCCTTCTACTTTTCTCTCTCACCTTGGAAGAAACCTTAGATTGACCTTTCCTCTTCTGTCACCCTGTTTCTCTTTGTGCCTTCAATTCCAGAATTCCTGATGGATTAGCTGACTCCCTACCTGTTTCCTTGAGCATCTCCTCTGGAGTGATTTCTGACCCCACTGTCCCACGAAACCTGCCCTCTCAGACACCACTCGGCACTCGATGCTGGTCATACCTGAAGCCCGCTTCCCAAGGCCCCTTCTCGTCCACCCTTGATTGCGATGACAGTCTGCCCTCCACCTCTTGGGGTCCTTCCACAGCCCTCCCCTTCATCCCAGCTCCTCACTGTGAGCTTCGCCTGGGACCAGACCCTGGCCTCTTCTCATCTTTCATTGCATTCTTTTCCCCAAAGCACTGACCCATCCTCACAGTTTCCATTACAATTGCATGTTTGATTCTGAAATCTGTCACTTCTAGTCCCCACCAACCTCTCTCTAGAATTCTGATCCTCGGCTTCTACATACAGATTAAATTCTTTCATCTACCACATTCACTTGGACCAAGCCAAACTCCTCATTTTCACTCCCAAATTCCATCTTCCATCAATACAATGTTGCCCATTTATCCAAGCAAGGAATATCTAAGAAATCTTTATACCTCCCCTTCGTTTCGCCCCTAAATTCTTTTAACTTTCCCTCTGTCTCTTATTTGTATTTCCTTTTCTACTGCCTTTGCCAAGGCTGGACCTTGAGTAGTTCCTTCCAAGAGTATGGTGGTTGCCTCCTAATTGGATATCCTTGTCCCCCAGGAGTTGGAAGGACCTCCAGGGGTCCTCGAGCCCAGTCAAACTGGTATTGGTGTGAAGATTCCTCGTTCACTCAGGACAGAGGCCTAACTCTCAGACTCAGCATCCTAGACCAGCACAGTCCAGCAGAACTTTCTGTGGTGAATGCAGTGTTCTATGTCTGCACAATATGATAGCCACCAACCACGTGTGGTTATTGAGCACTTGAAATGTGACTCATGTGACTGAGGAGCTAAATTTTTTATTTTCTTTAATTTAAATTGTCACGCTATCTTCACACCACTGCTCTCTAGTACCAGCCCTGTGCCCTGGCAAACCTTCACCAAGCATCACTCTGATGCTCCACTCTGAGCTGCTGTCTGCTCCCGACCTATGGGCTCCTCTCCCCTCTCCAGTCAGATCTTCTCTAGGCCTCAGGTCCAGGCTAGGTCCCACCCCTTAGCCCTACCTAAGTATCTCTTCAATCCACAGTGTTCTCTCTTTCTCCATCTTTTGAACAGCCACATATGTCGGCTAGATAAAACTTTTTGTTAAACTTTCTATTTAACTTTTATTTTGACATAATTTCATACTTATAGAAAAGCTGCAAAAATAGTACAAATAATTCTTGTATACCTTCACTCAGATTCCTCAAATATTAACATTTTACCATCTTTCCTTTATCATATATTCTCTCTCCCTCTCTTTTTCCATCTCTCTTTCCCTCTACCTCTCCACACACACACACACACACACACACTTACACACATATACATACCTACGTATATATTACTTTTTATGAGCAATTTGAAAGTAAGTTGCACATGTAGTATCCTGTACACCTAGATACTTCAGCATATATTTCCTAAAAACAGGAATAATTTCTTATAAAACCACAGTTTGGTGATCAAAACATGAAATTAACGTCGATACAATGCTATCCTCTAATTTATTGACCTTATTCAAATTTTGCCAGTTGTCCCATAAATGTCCTTTATGGCAAAAGAAAAAAAGGAGCCTTTCCTGTGGACCACATATCTTGACATTTAAGCACCTGAGGACAAGCCCTGATTCCTCACATTTGTTTGGTTTTCTCCTCAGTACCCAGGTTAGTAGTGTGAACCGATTGGCATGTGCCTGGCACATGGTAGGCCCTCAGTAAATTTCTGTGAGATGAACAGATGAATCATTAGCAGCGACAAGCCAGAGTGGACTTGGCAGAGGAGACAGGCCTCACCTGGGCTTCACCACATAACTGGTAGTCATCAACTCTGTGATCGCAGAGTGCTCCTGTCAGGGGTCACCCCCTTCCACAGTCTTCTTGGGGCTCTCAGATGGTGAGCAGCACTCCTCCCATTTTAAGGATGCACAACTGATAATCCTCAAAGTTAGCTAACCTTCCTGTGGTCACACAGGAGCTCCATGTCCAGGTCAGGAGATGGCACTACTTCTCCATAATATGCCAAGGTGAAGCTTTTTGGATAAATAATTGTTAACCTTAACCCCACTCCTTCATTCAGTAATAGTTAACATGTGCCTACTATGTGCCAGGCACATTGAGTATACAGCAGTGACCAAAAAAAGTCCCTGCCCTCAGAAAGCTTACAGTTTAAGGGGAAGGGAAGGGCATGGGCCGGCCCCGTGGCTTAGTGGTTAAGTGCGTGCGCTCCGCTGCTGGCAGCCCAGATTCGGATTCCGGGCGTGCACCAACGCACTGCTTCTCTGGCCATGCTGAGGCCGCGTCCCACATACAGCAACTAGAAGGATGTGCAGCTATGACATACAACTATCTACTGGGGCTTTGGGGGAAAAAATAAATAAAATAAAAATTTAAAAAAAAAAAGGGGGAAGAGAAGGGCAGACAGTAATTAAACAAGTACATATATAGTTTGTTATAAGATGATAAGTGCCATGGGGGGAAAATAATAAAGTGGGGTGATGATGATAAGGAGTGCCGGGGTGGGGGTTGCTCTTTGACATGGGGGAGATCTCATTAGTTAAATGCCCTGTTCCCATTTGTTGTGTTAAGTTATAATTTACATACAGTAAAATTCACCCTTTCTAGTGCGCAGTTCAGTGAGTTTTGACAAACACATACAGTCGTGTAACTACTGCAACAATCAAGATATGGTTCCGTCACCTCAAAACATGTCCCTGTGCCCCTTAGTGGTCAGCCCCTCCCCACACCCACCTCTGGCAACCACCAATCTGTTCTCTGTCTGTATAGTTTTGTCTTTTCTGAAATGTCATAAATAGAATTATACAGTGCATAGCCTTTGAGTCTGGCTTCTCTGAGCAGAAAGAAAGATGAATCGTTGAGATTCACCCATGTGTGTATCAGTAGTTTGTTCCTTTTTGTTGATGAGTAGTATTTCGTTGCATAAATGTACCTCAGTTCATCCATTCTCTAGTTGAGGGACATTTGGATAACTTCTAGTTTTTAACAATTACAAATAAAGCCACTATAAACATTCACATCCAGGTGTTTGTGTGCACGTAGATTTTCATTTCACTTGGATAAATAGGTTAGATGATTTTTGAGCAAAGACCTGAAAGAAATATGAAAGCTGAGGATATTTTTGTGTATTCACCATATTGTTATTTAGCCAAATGAATAGGCTTGTGTCACAAAGCTGGTCTGTCTGGGTTGTTTTTCTTATTTGAGTTATTTGGAGAAAGCGGGGGTGGGAATGGAGGAAACCATTGGTTGATTCATTCCTTTGTTCATTCACTCATTAATTGATTCAACAAACATTAAAAAAAATGAAAGCCACCAGTCCACAGTCTGTGACCCAAAGGAGGACTGAGACGCTTGGATCCACACCAAAGGCTAATTTTAGTTGTTTTATCTGACATAATTTCCTTTCTGAGTTTCCTGAAAGTTGGTAGTCGGGAGTGGGGGAATAGTTAGTGAGTTGGGGGTTATCATCGTTGAAATGGACAATGAAGGCATTTTTGAGGGTTTTTATCTCAATGGAGGCTCCAGGGACCCCTCCAGAGGCCCCTCCTGAAAACTAATATTCATTTGATCATGAGGTTGTCTGTGCGAGAGTGTAAGATCCCCAGAAAGACATATTCAAATGAGGGCTCTATCCGGATGAGGGGCCAGTGGGCAAGACTGAGTCCTCCTACAATTCAGGAGCTTTGTGAAAAAACAGGAGATAACCTGTGAACTTCTTTGTTTCAGGTGATGCAACTGTGAAAAAGAAACCTGCCCCCAAGACACCTCCGAAGGCAGGTAACTGGTCACAGTCATATTTGGGGCAAGGGAGTCATCTGCCATGAGGGGCGTTTCCTCTGCCCTGCTAGACTGACCTCTGGGTATGTGGTTCCAGGAGACCACCTCGTCCCTGTTCAAGCTCTGCATTATTCAGGCCGAATTTTCCCCAAGAGCCTCTGTGCAGCCTGGTCCCCCACCTTCTTCCACTACTTGCCTTTTCTCCTGTTTCCTTTGTACAGACAGCATCACACAGTACTAGCGACTTTCCCATCTCATCTGTGGAGTTCTGCCCAACCCTCTATCCTCCACTCTGCCCCTTATGGAGGTGGCCTACTTTGTGCTGGTTTAATGCTCTGCTGTGTATGTCCTTGTCATATGGAGCCTTGTCTGTTTTCCACTGAAAGACATTTGAGGATGTGAACCATATTGAGCCTGTCAGCCGGGGTGACCTGGAGGTTAGAAGGCAATGGGCTACTTAATTAATAAAGGAATTAGGATCTAGATTCAAAAAATTAGGGTAAGACACAAATTCCAGAGCAATCAATAAATGGAGAATTATGCCATGTAAATTGTGTGGGCCACTTCTGAGGGAATTAGAATACAGAGGTGAGCAAACCTAGCGGGTCCATCAGCTCAGATGTTCAGGAGCAGTGACAGTGTCCTCAGTCTTACCCTGAAGTTTCCAGAAGGTGAGAGAGGAGCAACAGACCAATGTGGACAGCAGCGTCAAATGAGATCAGAATGTCTGAGACCCCTCTCCTCCACCTCGGAGCTCACTTTCTCACTTGTCCTCTCCCAGCCATGCCCCCTCAGATCATCCAGTTTCCTGAGGACCAAAAGGTGCGCGCAGGAGAGTCTGTGGAGCTGTTTGGTAAAGTGACGGGCACCCAGCCAATCACCTGTACCTGGATGAAGTTCCGAAAGCAGGTCAGTGACGGGGGGGGGGGGTGGCCTGCGAACCACCCACACAGCCCCTGGTCTGAAAGGGATGAGAAGTACTCTAATGGAGACAGCGTCACGGGGGCCTTAGAAATGGGAGAGACCCCTCACCTGTCCATCACCCACCCACCCACTCACCCAATCCGAGTTCTTAATAACATTTTCTTCTGAATCTACGAATAATACCTGCTTTACAGACAATTTGTATGATAGAGAAAAGTACAAAGGGAAAAGCAGCAACTACCCATGGTCTCCACCTGATTTTAATATCTCAGTTAGAGCTCTACTCAGAGTCAAGAAAATGGAACCAGTGATCTAAATGACCTCTCAGACTCTGAGCTGTCTGTGATTCTGTGCTAGCCCACTGAACCCCATCTGTGGTAACAACTTAAACTGCCATGTGCTAAAGGCGTAAAAGTGAATCTGAGTATTTGGACGGATAAATTGTATGTTAAATAGAATTTTGGCTTACTGGCCCAGAAATCAAGCTACCATTTATAATAATGGTCCTATGGAAAAATGTTTGAATTTTCAAACAACTAGCTTTTAAGGGAACTTGGGGAGCCCGGCCATTCCAACCCATCCCGTATTGGTACTGTGTGCCCATATGCACGATCAGCAGAGAATGGTGGGCTGGCTCAGGATCAGGAACTCTACAGGAGGTGTGAAGATTCTTCTGAGCCCTCTGTTGCTCTATTTCCAAACACTTCCAGTTGTCCTGAGGCCCAGAGATGATAGGAGGTTAGTATCAGGAAGAAAAGGAGGGTTGATCTCAAAAGATGAAGAAGAGAAGCTGGCCTTATCCCAAAGCATGTTTGTCCTGTGCTGTGTCTAGGCTAGGGTTGTCTGAAGTAAGATGGAATCTCATCCCTGTTCAGAGCCAGTTGGCCCAGTCCCAGCTGTGTCCAACAGAACTTTCCATAGTGATGGAAATGTTCTGTATCTGTTATCCACTATGGTAGCCATTAACCATATGTGGCTGTTGAGCACTTGAAGTGTGACTAGTGCACCTGAGGAACTGAATTTTAAATTATAATTAATTAAAAATTGTTATAACAGCTTTGTTGATATATAAATCACACACCGTAAAATTTACCCAATTCACTCTTTTATTTATTTATTTATTTATTTATTTATTTATTTATTTATTTATTTGGTGAGGAAGATCAGCCCTGAGCTAACACCCATGGCAATCCTCCTCTTTTTGTTGAGGAAGACTGGCCCTGAGCTAACATCCGTGCCAATCTTCCTCCACTTTATGTGAGACGCCACCACAGCATGGCCTGACAAGTGGTGCGTCGGTGCCTACCCGGGATCCTAACCCGGGCCACCAGCAGCGGAGTGCGCGCACTTAACCACTACGCCACCGGGCCAGTCTCCCAATTCACCCTTTTAAAGTGTACAATTTGGTGGTTTTTAGTGTATTCACAAGTTTGTGCAGCCATAACAATGATCTAATTCCAGAATATTTTTATCTCCCCAAAAAGAAACCCTGGCCCATTAGCAGTCACTCCTCCCCATCCCGCAGACCCTGACAACCATTAACCTACTTTCTGTCTCTATGGATTTGCCTATTCTTGGCATTTCATATAAATGGAATCGTATAATGTATTCTTTCTGGATTTTTGTACTTAGCATAATGTTTTCAGGGCTCATCCATGTTGTAGCATGAATGAGTACTTATTCTTTTTTATGGCCAAATAATATTCCATTGTCTGGATATACCACATTTTGTTTACCTGTTCATCAATTGATGGACATTTGAGTTGTTTCCACTTAATTAGTTAAAATTTAAATAGCCATATGCAGCTAATGGCCATGGTATTGGACAGCACAGAAGAGATCAGAAACCGCTGGGGTGGGCTTTGTAAGGGACTTTGCTGAGATATGTTCTCCCACCATCCCATCCCAGAGTCGTGGAGAGGGACTAGGATGCTCCTCAACTCCAGTCTGGAGCAGCAAGTTCAGAGTTCATTCCACCCAACCCTGCTCAGCACCCTCCCTGCCCTCCCCAAAACTGGACCCCCTCAGGGAGACTTGGCTCTGGATGCAGGAGGGGAGGGGCCATAGGGGGAAGCCCAGAGTCCAGACAAGAACCCCACATAGCTTGTGCAGCAGCATCCCTTAGGGAGTAGAGAGTGGGGATCAGAACCCGCTTCCTCTCCTGGCCCAAGTCTCCAGCGCTGCCCCACTCTCTGCCCCCAGATCCAGGAGAGCGAGCACATCAGGGTGGAGAACAGCGAGAATGGCAGCAAGCTCACCATCCTGGCTGCACGCCAGGAGCACTGTGGCTGCTACACACTGCTGGTGGAGAACAAGCTGGGCAGCAGGCAGGCCCAGGTCAACCTCACTGTCGTGGGTGAGTCTGGGGACAGGGTGGCCTGGAGGACGGGGGATAGGGAAGGCAGGATGAGGGACTGCAGGGCCTCAAGCCCCCGGGGGCCAACTCCTTCTGCACCGGCTCTCTCTGCCCACAGCCTCCCGTTCCCCCAGCTCTCCCTCTCCCTGCTCGCACACTGTTGTGTGCTCCGTGCTCCTTGAGAACGCCAGACCCTGCACACACACACCCCCACACACAGCGTTTTCCTCTTCCTATGAATTCCCTCCTGGCTTCTCTTTCTTTCTAGCCTTTGGAGACCCTGAGCCCTGCTACTCCAGGCCCTCTCCTGCCAGTACCTGTAACTCCCCCTCCCTCTGGTCCACCACCTGTCCCCAACTCAGTCCCCTTGAAAATCCTCACTTTGAATCAATGCTGCCTTCCGACCTCACTGCTCCTACACCTGATTTTGGGGGCATTGCAGGAAGATCACAACCCGCAGACTCAGTGCGGGACCCTGCCAAGGTCCAGGCTCAGCCTGGACATCTGTGCTGGTCAGTGCCTACTCCCATTCTCTGTGATAGTTTGTCACCCTGCAGGCCTTGGCCTCTTGCTTCTCTGAGAAATAGGAGGCGTCAGGCGTGAACCTGCTTAACTTCACGGCCCCACACCTGTGGTGTCTCTGTATCTGTCCCCATGCTGCCTCACCCTCCCGGCTCTGGGTATGGCCCACCTTCCTCCTGCCTGAGGCTGCTCTCTTGGGGGCTCCACCCCACCCCCTTCTCTCTTCTCTTCAACTTCTGCCGTAACTGTTGCCAGGCTCGCCCATCTTAGCCAAACACACAGGCATGCATAACTCCTGCAGTGTCTTGTCTCACTCTAGACACTTGACCATGTCTCTCTCTCTCTTCACAGCAAACCCCCTGAAAGGGGAGGGTCTCGACTCTCATTCTGCTTCTTTGCCTCCCTGGCACTCTTCAGCTCCCTGCAGCCTCCCCTCCATGCCCCATTAGTCTGCTGGACCACCCTTCTGAGGCCACCGTGACCTCCTAATCCTAAATCCACTCCCTTTTTCTTATCTTCTATGTCCCAGTATTGAGTTTAGCCTGTCTCAGACTGATTCTCAAGTTCACTTTTTCCTCTCCATCCCCATCACTCTGTTTCTCACGCCCTGGTCAGCTTTCTCCTGAAACATCAAACTAGCTTTCTAACTGGTATCCCACTGTCAGTCCTGTTCAGCTCATTGTCCCCCAACATGACAGGCACTTGGGACAGCGAAGGAACCGCAGATGAAGGAGCAGACAGACAGGTGGTGGGCCGTGTCCTTGTGCATTTGTGGGGCCTTCCTACCTCATGCACATGAGAGCCTTTGACCTGGAGTTTATTGATCTGATGCCCTTCGTTTTGTTCCCTTAGGTCAGGAGTTTTAAATCTGGGAAGGCAGGGGTAGCAAGGGGTCAGGGAATAGGTTTCTCATCTATAAAAGACGGGAGGGACCTTTTTCTCATTCTTTCTCTCTTTGGTGACTCTGGATGCTTATTTCAGTAGTTTCCCCCCGAGGAGCAGGAACATTTGGGGGTTTGGGGGGTTGGTGCTGGCGATCCAGTTTGCATTTCCATTTAGACCTGTACCTGAAGTATTGATTTGGCCCCACGCCCCAGCCCATTAGCAAGCATCAGTTTCTAGTTTTCCTGGGTGTTCTCTCTTATCTGCCCAACTTGGGGAACTTTGGGGTCAACTCCTTTGAACTGCTTTTCTGTGACCAGTGCCCCTGCCCCCACTCTGGCCGGCTCTGCACTGTGCCACGCACGCCCCTCCCCCAGCACCCCTGCACAAGCTGCACTTCTGGCCTTTTATGGTTTCGTTTCTTATTCTCCTCGGCCAGCACTGACAGGGCCATTGTGTGGCTGCCCGCCAGCTGGCGGGAGCAGCATGTTAAATGCCGTCCTGGGAGGGGAATGGAATGGAGGGGAACGGGCTTTCTGTCTGCCTCCCCCCCACAGAGCTAAGAATAGAATTGCTCAATAAAATGAGGACTCACATTGATGGACATAGCAAAGCCACATTCATTCAGAGCCCATGGATTTAGAATTAGTCCAAAGCAAACCTGGATTAAGCCCAGATTTACCTGTGCTTCTCTAGGAACGTCTGTGTGTTATCTGATCAGGGTTGATTAAGTAGATGTAAAATGTAAATAAGATGACACAGGAAGTATTTGGCTTCACTACTACTCCAGTTTTCAAGTACTTTGGAAGCATCCATTTACAGGCCAGCTAAATAAGGCCCATTTAACACAACTTCTACTGGGTAGCAATAAACTTCTCTTCTTGTATGTTCTTTAAAGTACGACTTGTTTTTCAGACAGTCTATGACTCCTATTTTTAAAATAGGATAATCATATGATAACAAAATATAATACATGATATTATATGATCTCATGATAATAAAAATTAGCCTTTCCCTCAGTTTAAATGAGTGATGTTTAGCTATTTTAAAGGCTTAATATGATTATATTTTAAAAGGCAGTAGAGGGGTTTGTGATGCTCAGAGGGCCTCCGCCCACATCTGTGCCTCCAGCCTCAGCCTCAGCAGGTGAGGAGGGGCCGCTCAGGTGGGAGATAACAGCAGACCCAGGTGAATTCCTTCCTGGAGAAGAACAGGTCATTTTGCATATCTTTAAAGGAGAAAACAAAGTAGAGAGAACCCCAAATACCCAGTAATCCCCAAATACTATCTGAGCTTGGAACTTGCATGATTTTTAAGGGCAGGAGATTACCCTTTGTAACGCTTGGTTTGGCTTAAGCAAGATGTATTCTTGATCTTATTCTGGGTGATAGCCTGGAAAATAACAGGACTCTGGAGCGAGGGTCTGGAGATTTTTTGGAATCTCCTCTTGGCTCTGCCACTGGCTTGCTGGGTATTCTTGGTAAGCAAAGTCCCTTAGCCTCCGAGGGCTGAGATTATCCAGGTAGATGACCCTGGGGGCCCTTGTAGCCTCTGCTCTTCTGCTAAAAGCTGCAGGGGCTGCTGAGGTGCCAGTGAAGGGAGGTCCAGGCGGGGTCAGGCACAGCCACAGATCATCTTCAAACACGCAGGCACATAGAGACCACCAGGCGGTTACTCTAGTCAGAAGCATAGAGATGAGATCCTCCATTTTTCCAGGAGTGAGAACGTTTGCTAAACAGAAAATCCTGGAGCTGATGCCATCGGAGACCCTGCCCTCAGACTCAGCATTTCCCATTCCGTTGGTCAAGTCTCTAGGGAGCCATGGGAGAATTCCAAGGAAAAGTGGAGCTCGGGGCCTAGACACTGAGCCTGCCTCACTTCACCAGGCCGTGCCCGGGGTCTCCCAGCCAGACTGAGGGAAGGCTCACAGGCACTGTCTTCTGAGGACGTCTGTTCTGTCTGAGGGTTTTCATCCCTGGCTAGTCCAGCCTCTGTGTGGGGCTCTGTTGGCTGGAAAGAACAGAAAGCATCAGGCACAGCCTATGACCCTAGGGGCAGCTGTGCCCGGGGGGACTTCCAATCTCACATGACCTCAGACTTCGGTCTTTTCTGAACTCCTTAATTTGGTGTCAAAATCCTTGAAAGCATTGAAGTTTCATTTGGAATTAAAGCCCCCTGCCCCAAATTTTGCAGCTTCTCTTATAATGTAGGGGGTGACATATGTCATATGACACTTCTTTCTTTTTCAGCCAAGAGACATCTGGAACAGGGTAGGGTACAAATACTACCTCTTCTGCAATACCCATTTCTCAAGAAAGTTTTTCTTTCTTGACCCAAGCAGAAGGAGAGGAAGTCAATCAGTGGAGTGTATCTGCATTCGTTGTATAAATTTATATGACTCTAACCGTGTCCCATCAGACATTTTCCAGGCAGCTGTCTTTAGGGGAAACAGAGAGTCTGTCTTTCATCCCTCTTTAGGCTTTGACTTCTTTAGCTGGGTCTCGAGAGGACTTGAACCACTTGCCTCTAAGAGAGTTTAGAGTAATAAACATCTTAGCCAACACCAGAAATATTTCTAAAAAGACCAATATATCTTTCAGAACAAATAGTTTTTCTAAGAGAACATATTAAACAACCAGTGAAAGTGGTTCCATCACAAGAGGCCTCCAAAGTGACTGCCGACGGTGGGAAGTGGCTCTGTCGCAATCCCAGAATCATTCCCGGGTGAGGTCCAGGCTTGGGTTGCAGGCGATAGATGGATTCTGGGCAGCGCATTCTTGGCTGGAATGTAGAAGGAGCAGGGCTTGGGGGAGGGGGTGACAATGAATATGGATATGGATATGGATATGGATACGGATATGTGTACACCCCCACACATACACACACAGCTGAATGTTTTTTTCTTCCCCATGTGCAAAGGGTCATCTGTAGGATTCTCTTTGGTCTTCCTGCCTTGCTGAGGGTTGGAGAGTAGAAGCCAAGCACTTTCCCTGGGTTTGCTTACTTGGTGTTTACAAAACCCCTAAAATGTAGATCCATAATAGCACCATTTTCCAAATGAAAAAGACAAACTAGTCTTGGAAGTTAAGGAATTTGCTCGAGGTCACAGAGCTTATAAATACGCATAGCATAAAAGCATGTGTTTTTGTGTGCATGTGAGGAAGATTAGCCCTGAGCTAACATCCGTTGCCAATCCTCCTCTTTTTGCTGAGGAAGACCGGCCCTGGGCTAACATCCGTGTCCATCTTCCTCTACTTTATATGGGACACTGCCACAGCGTGGCGCGCAGGATCCAGGCCTGCGAACCCAGGGCTGCTGATGAGATGTGCGTGAACTTAACCGCTACACCACCAGGCCTGCCCCAATAAAAGCATGGTTTTAATTGCTGGTTTGGGGAGCTCTACTCCTCAAACTGCTTTTAGGGGATGAAGGGTTACTGAACACTGATGTCTGTAACTAAACCAACCCCCTGCAGAAACTAAATCTGAAAAACAAGAGAATTTTGTTCAGATGAGCAACTGACAAAATGAGCAAAACTCAAGAACCTCATTACAGTATTGGCCTGGAAGTTGGCAGCGTTACTGGTTCTTAGAGTTACTGGTCTGAATGGGAAGGCAGCCAGCCAAAGGGGCCGCTTCTTGTTTGTGGCCTCCGCTCATTTTCTGGCCCTTAGTCAGGGCTGGTTGTGATTTGCTACTGTGGTTTGCTTTTGAAATTCTTAACCTCATTTTATACCAGGCCTATGAGGATAAAAGAGGTAGGGTAGAAGTAACTTTGTATGTATTATAAAGGTAGAAATCAACTCCTACAATGATGATGACAGTAATGATTCCTCAAGCCAGCCACTTTTCTAAGAACTTCTCCCAACAACCCTGTGATCCAAGTGCCATTATTATCCATATTCTACAGGCGAGGAAACTGAGGCACAGAGAGGTAACAAGGGGTGAATGGGGGACAGAGCCGTGTTCAAACCCGGATCTGTGTGACTTCAGAGCTCACTGTGCTATATACTGCCTCTTGATGGGGCAGGCATTTCCCAAGTCCCAGAGAAAGTGCAGACTGGCCCCTAGTTATGTCACAGGTCATGGGCCTCGGGCCTGAAGGAGACACACACACACACACTCACTCACTCACTGAACTCTCTCTCAAAACATATTTGTGACGGGAAGCAGTCCACGCCTTCTGGGCAGCTTCCTAGATCTGTTTACTCGAGAAATATGTTTATGACTTGGGCAAAGCACCGGAAATCATGACTTGTAGGCTGGAGAACTAGCCAAAAAAAGGAGGTTTTTTTCAAGCCAATAGGTATTCGTGGGGCTTTCCGTATAGGTGGGTTTGTCCATAGGTGTGCCTGTGGATGAGGGAAAGAGAGCCAGGACCAGGGATGTCAGCTCAGGTTCTCTACGCTTCTCCCTCATGACAGAGCTAATTCAAAAACTTTCTTTCTCTGCTAGTCTGAAGAGTTGGGTGTTTTGTGCTTCTCTATTCCCAGACAAGCCAGACCCCCCAGCCGGCACGCCTTGCGCCTCTGATATCCGGAGCTCCTCGCTGACCCTGTCCTGGTACGGCTCCTCATATGACGGGGGCAGTGCCGTCCAGTCCTACAGTGTCGAGATCTGGGACTCGGTGGACAAGACGTGGAAGGAACTAGCCACATGCCGCAGCACATCTTTTAATGTCCAGAACCTGCTGCCTGACCGAGAGTATAAATTCCGTGTGTGTGCAATCAACGTGTACGGGACCAGTGTGCCGAGCCAGGAGTCTGAACTCACAGCGGTGGGAGAGAAACCCGAGGGTAGGCTGCCTTCACTTCATCTCTGGCTTTAAATAAATGTGCATGACTTACCTTGTGTGTGTAGAAACCTGTACTGAGGGGGTACAGAGGAACTAGGAAGACATCAATGATGACTGGTAGAGTCTTTGGGGATCTTGATTTCCAAGGTGTGATACCGATCCATACTTCAAAAGAAGTGCATAGGACCTTTCAAAAAACTTGAACCAGCAATTTTGGTACACTGCCACCAGGGGGTGATGGTGTGTTAATCAGCAGCACAGTCCTGGAGGGCAGGAGCTCAGGTAGACCTGAAGTTCCCCTCCACCCTCCTTCCTCCTTCTCTTACACTCATATCTGAGTGTCTACTAGGTGTCAGGTTCTTGGGACACAAAGACAGATAAGACAAGGAGCTTAAAATCTGACTATGGGACAGCTGTGTACACAGCTAACTATAATGAGATGGGCTACATCCTATTACACCAGTATGAACAAATTGTGAAGGAGACACAGCAGAAGCCATGAATAATTTTGCCATGAAGGTTGGGGAAAGCTTCCTAGAGGAGGTGACACTTATGCTGAGTCTTGGAAAAAGGAATAGGAATAGGAGATAGCATGAGTGAAGGTACAAAGTAATGGAAATGCATGGCATTTTGAGAAGCTTGGCATATGCTGTGTGAGACAGAACAGGAGAAGGCAACACTGAAAGGGCAGTCTAGGTAAAATTGTGAAGTTCATCAAAGATTTTCAGGCAAGGGATTGGTACAATTAGATCTGGGTTTTTTTTTAGAAAGAGAATTAGGGGAGGAGAAGAGCTTTGCTACTTAAAGTGTGGTCTGGACCAGCAGCCTTGGGATCTGGGAGCTTGTTGGAAAGGCAGACTCTCAGCCCCTCACTCCCCCAGTCCCTTCTGAACCTTCATTTTAACATCCTTCACCCTCCTGCCCTTCATAGGTTCATATGCATTTGAAAGTTTGAGAGGCCCTGGAGTGGAGCAGGGGCATGGGATTGGAATCAATGAGACACCAGTTGGGCCTCTATGGTGTAGTCCAGGAGAAGGATGGTCAGGGTATGAACTAAAGCCTCAGGAGGTAGAACTGCCCATTCTCAATGACTTTTTGGGTAGAGAGTTGAAAGAAAAAATTGGAAGTTTAAGGTGACTCCCAGTTCCTAGCTTGGCTAACTGAACACAAATTCCGGAGCCATTTAGAAGTTTATTTAATGCTTCATGGTGGCTAACATATATTAAGCTCTTGCTATATGCTAACATGTTAAGCACTTGACGTGCATCAGTTCATTCAGACCTAATAACTCAATGAAGTAGATAGTGTTGTTACCCCTGTTTTATAGATAGGGGAAATGAGCTTAAGAGGGTGAAGTTTCTTGCCCAAGGTCCCAGAGCTTGTAAATGATGAGGTGAAGCTTGACCTCAGAGCTGTCTCACCCAAAGCCTGTGCTCCTTTGGTTCGACTGAGGGAGGAGGTCAGGCTGCCTCCCAGGTTCCTGACTCGAGTAAATGACTTGGCAGTTAGATAACAGGGAGTCCAGGAGAAGATGGGAGATCTAGTCTCAGTCCTGTTAAATGGAGGTGTCTGAGGGATATCCAAGAGGAGGTGTCTTCAGACCGTGGAACAGTTGAGTCTAGAGCTCAGGAGAAAGGTTTAAGCTAGAGCTACAGATTTGGGGGTCTTCACTATTTACTTGGTCATAGAAGCCGTGCACGTTGATGAGGTCACTGAGAGGGTGGTAGAGAAGGTCACCACCAATGCGGAAATGAAGGAGCCTGCAAGACCGGAAGAAGGGACTGGGAAGGGAGGGGACCTAGAGGAGGCTGGAGCCATGCTACGGCAACACAGGAAGGAGTGAGTTGCAAGAGGGCTCAGTGAACAGCATCCAATGCCAAATATAGATGAAAGAGATGAGGACTCGGACAGATCTTTGGATTTAGCCCTTTGATACATAATGATCTTTGAGAGCAAATTCCCTAGAATTTCCGCAGTGTGGAAACATGGTTGCCCTGGGCTTAAGGAATAAATGGAAGAAGGAGAGGCCAAGAGTATGGAATATTATTTCAAGAAGTTTCTTCAGGAGAAGAAAAATGGTGTTGTGAATTTAACATGGAGGAAAGGTTGGGGGCAGGGAGGAAGGTGGAGGGACACCAAGGGATAGAGCTCCTGGAGAGAGGAGAGCTTAAAGGTATGAGAGAGAGACTGTGGGAGACTCAAGGACTCAGGGGCTGGACAGGGCACAGGTCCTAAAATCACCATACACCAGCAGCATTGCGAGTATGGAAACTGATTATGATCTGATACCCCTCTTTAGTTTTAAAAATGAGGTATAAAATAGGTATTAAAACTTTACTTTCAAATTAAATGAGGGATCCAGAAAGAAAGTTAGAAGGATACCAATGGAAAACACACCAAATTTACAATTTTGCCGGTGCAGCCCTGTCTTGGGGGCCTGTATCTGGTGAGCCCTGGAAACACACAGAGAGCAGGTCTCCTTGAGAGCTACAGTGTGCATCGTGGGGGCGTGGATCCCCGCTCCCAGGACAGCCTGGGTCTCGGCCTGTTGGCAGCTTTCGCCTGTTTGCAGCTTTCGTGGGCTCCTGCCCACTAGCTGCTCACAGATGTCTGCTGGAGGAAACAAAGTAACAAAACCACCATCTGCTGCCCTTTGACACCCCCCCCTTTGAAATGAGCCAAGTGGGGAGCAGGCAGGTTAGAGTGGGGGTGCCAGGAAAGGCAACCAAGTTCCAATCTGCATGTTTTTAGGATATTCCTTTGTTCAAGAAGAGGACTCCCCACCTCTTGGGAAAGTGATGGGAAGAGAGAGAACATTGCAGTGAGAAGATGTTCATTAGCTGGAAAGGAAAGCTTCCAGGTTCTTTATGGCGAAAACCAGGAGAAACTGTAGAATCCCTGAGGAACCCCACACAGAGGACCAGAGACCGCGGGGGCTGTGAGGTGTGGCTCCCAGGAGGCCAGGACAGCAGCTCCTGAGGCTGTGGGGACAGCCTACGGGCAGGAGGGGCTGGGACCACTTGGCTCTGCGCAGGTGGCCTCTCCCTTCTTCCCTGTGGCCCGCTGACCCTGTCTGTGGTCCTCAGACTCCCCTCCTGGGGCCCCTTCCTGGCTGGGAGCAGACCAAGGAAATGTTGAAATCGCCAGCAATCTGGGGGAGGGGTCCAGGCCACCCAGGGCTTCCCCACTGGAAGCTGCTCCCCCGCCCAGGCCCATGCTCCCCCGCCCAGGCCCAGCTGGATTATCCAGGGGGGAGGAGGGGCAGAACAGTTGGCAAGTGTTAGGCCTGAGGAGCAGAGGAGGGGGTGGCGGTTCCAAGCAGAAGCCCTCTGTGGACTGCTCAGATGCTTGTGGTTATAAGCCTGGGTGGGTCATCTCTCTCTACTTTGAAAGGGAAATGGCTCTCAGAGAAGTGGGGTGTGTGTGTGCGTGTGTAGAGGAGAGATGGGATAGGTGGTTATGCTAGGTCATTTCTGTGGAGCCAGTGGGGTATGGTGGTGACCAAAAAGGCAGTGCCGATTAGCCCTCCCTCCACTAAGCCCAGCTAATGCTGGCTGTCACCCTCCCCGTCACTACCACTGCCCCTCCTGCCTCTTCCTCAGCAACTCGAGTTTTCTGCTTCCTCCTGACCGCTCAGTTCCATCCCTGCTGGCACCCCAGCCCTCACTCTGCGTTCACTCACCCCGTGTGGCCTCTGCCTCCTCCTGGGTTCCAGGCACTGCCAGGGTCACTGGGGATACGGTGGAGGACAAAACACAGGGGTCCCCCTCTGGCTCCAGAGCCACCCCCAGACTAGGATCCCTAACCTAATAGCTCCCCTCCCAGTCTTCCCAAACCCGAGTAAAGGGAGCCACCACCCCGACAGGACTCGCTCTCTCCTGTCCCAGCCAGGTCTTGAACTATACACCCACTACTCAGCTCTAACTCGCAAATCTACTCCATCCTTGCTCCTAATCCTAACTTGTTCTAGTCTATACGGTTGTTAGCAAACAGCTGTGATAGAGGCCTCTTCAGAGTTGGGGCTTCCTTGCAACCCCGAGGGCAGTTAGAGAAGCAGAGGGTGAAGGCCGGAGATCAGCCGCTCACCCTGTGCTGCTCACCCCGTCCTGGGCCACTGCTGTGTTGGCCCCGCAGAGGCCCTCTCCCGGGCTGGGGTGCCCTCTAGTGCCCACTGAGCATGCAACAGCCCGCCGCCTAGGAAAGGGACAGCTCTCTGCAGGGGGCTGACTAGACATGTGCCCTCTGAGGGGCCCGAGGGCTCAGCTGGTCGTCTCCCAAACACCACTCCAGGACACTGCGACTCAGCTGTCTGCAGAAATATCTCAGAACCATCTTCCAAATAGTTCTTCCACTTAGCTCTTGGATCTCACAGCTGTTTCTGAATAGGAAAAATTTTAAATGTTTCACTGAAGTCCCTCCTACTGCAGTTTAGCTCCTTCCTAGTGGAAGGATGGAAACCAGTGGCCACCTCTCTCATTACTACAATGCTGTATGCTCCAAGAGCTTGGCTAGCTGACCTGTGGCCTTTCACCCTCTCCTCTCCTGCTCTTCCCCTTGTGGCCATTTCCCCCTACAATGGAATGGAGGCAGGACGAGAAGGGAAAGAAGGGAAACATCTCAGCCTGGAGCCTTGGTTCCACAGGGAGGAAAGGTGGCAGCGTAGCAGTGAGCCAGAAAGAGGGGTGTGACTTCCCTGAGAACGACATGAGCGCCCATACCCATCATATCAGGAAAGCTCTGCATCTTGATCACCAAGGAAGGAGGCAGGACCAGAGGGGGGGGTGTGGTGTTTGTGATGAGGGGCCAGAAGGCTCGCTCTGCAGTTTCTGACAGGTGTCAAAGTGATCGAGAGAGGCCAGCTCTAGAACTGGGTGCTCTGTTTAGGGCTAACCGGAAAGTGCCCCCAGGTGCCAGGTCCTTGGCAGGCCCCTCGTGGGCTCTTAGCACTGCTGCTGCTCCTTCACTAGGAAAGTACAGGCGGTTCCTGCTAAAGACAGCAGGCCAAGAAAGCCTGCCCTCTCGTGGCTCTCTCGCCCTGTGCTCAGAACACTCCATTTGCCTTTACACATCAGGATGTGTCGCATGAGAACAAAAAGATAAGGGATGCCTCAACAGGTCAGACCTCTGTCTCAGGGCCATCATGGATCAGGACGATGGGGCCTCCCTGACAGTAAACATTATTATTGTTATTATTTTGTCTCTAAGGCCCACAGGTGTTCAATTAATGATTGTTGGAGTGACTTGAGTCTCTTGCTTCCCTTAAAGCCCTGTCTGAAATATCGTTGTTGAACTAACCTACACATCTGTCGAACCTGTTCATTGTTCTCATGGTACCTCTTGAGACGTGAGTTCCATATGCCTACAGCCTTCCTCCCTGTCAGGTCTAATGCTAAATTGTTCTCTCAAGTTACAGTATTCATTAGTTGATCAAAGTCCATAACCCTAATCTCACCCTTGCAGTTCTGATTTTTTTTAAATCATGTCTGCTTTAGACTTCTTTCCCCATTGGAGAGGCCTAAACTTCTCTGATCATCTTCACATAGCAGCCATTCCTTTCAGTGGCCCTCCATACCTCCCCCAGCTCCATCACAGCTTTCTAAGTGCCCACAGCCAGAGGGCCAGTAGCAGATGACCCCAGGCTCTACCAACGGCAGAGTAATAAGACCTGTTTGTGGCCAGCGCCCATTTCCCTAATGACGCATTCTGCTGGCCAGAGCAGTAGGTTGAGGAACTGGGCTCCCTCACTCGGGTTTTAACTAGTACCCTAGGGCTCGTCACCAGGCAATTAAATTCTCCGTGAACACATGACCCCACTAGTGCCTTCTAGGTGGGTTGCTCTCAGGTGCATCCTGGTCATCTGTGCATTTGACAATGTCACTGTTAACTTTCAAATGCATGATTTAGAAGAGTTGATCAGGTAGGCTCACATCCCGGGAGTCTCTGGGAGACCCCACCACTAATCTGAGTCCCTGTCTAGCTCATCCGCTTTTATTTTTCCATGGCAGTTTAATTTCTGTGACAAAATATTCCTCCCCATCCCACTCATGTTTAGTTTTGTAAAACTAAACTTGGTGAATAGCGTTTTAAGAATTCTACACAAATCACAGCCTCTGTTACTCCTGGTCACAAACTTATCAACTCCCTGAAAACTCTTTTTCAGCAAGGGGTGCTCATCTTGCTGAAAAAGAGATGAGTATGTATGAGAACTGTGAAAAAGTATGAGAACTGTGTTACTTTTTCTCAGGTGGTTTGCTTAGGTTGCAGTAATGTGTTCTGCCCTCAGCCTGACACAGAGGCTCACTGTCTACAGTTCTGAGCTGCACCTTCTTCCTGACCCCCCATCGCAGACATGCAACTTGCACAGCACTGCAGAGCTCAGCATGCTCACACCCAGCCCTCCCTGCTGGGCAGTGTCTGACCAACCCCCTGCCGGTCTACTCTTGTCTCCTCTTAGGAGGTTCGTCCACACACTGGTCCCTTCCTCTCCTCGGTCTTGCTGTGTTGGGAGCTTTAGTAGATCACACCCTTCCCCCCAAGTCCTATTCACGTGCACGTGCACACACACACACACTTTCACCTTTAAAATCCTTGTCCTCCCTCTCTGATTTCTCTCAAGTCTTTGTTCTGTCTCCTCAGGGAACCTCCCTTGGCTCCATCTGTCAGCCAGAACACAGCCCACATCATAGCTGAGGAGCACAAAGCATGGCCTCTAGAGCTAGCCGGGGACCCTAGAAATCACCCAGAAGTACAGCTCCTTCCTTTCATAGATGAAGAAACTGAGGCCCGGAAAGGAAAAGGCACTTAGCCAAGGTCAAGAAGTCATAGTGGCCCTCTAGGGACAAACCTACGCCAAGGAAAAGAAAAGCCTGGAGTCCTGAAGTGGATGTGTCCTGCCAGACACTTGCCTGTCCTTGCGTGTCCCCCATTCACTCCTGACACATCCATGTGAGCAGCCAGTGCTTATGTCCCTCCTCGCCCTACCTTATGAATACCTTTTGGGTTTCGTTGTGTGACATCACCCACCCCCTCGCTGTGGTCCATCATTTCCTTTAAGACACAACTCAAGGGCTACTTCTTCCAGGAATAATTGCTCTGACTTTATAATTGCCCCATTTTGCATCACCTTCCACCATTGTGTGTTCAGGTTATACTGCCATATCATGTGCTTGATTATATAACACTTGTAATGGATATTTCAAGTATATGTGTTTTTGCCTCTTTAACTAAATTATAAGCTCCAGGAAAGGAGAGATCATGCCTTCTATGTATTTTGTTTTGTATACCCACAATAACTGGCAAGAGACTTGGTACACTGCTGGGATTCCATAAAAAGTGTTCAGTTAATGGATAAATGGATGTGGCACTAGAAGCAATTATAAGTTGCTGACTTCCAAGCTGGAGCAGAAAGGGACTGTCACAGTTGTGTGTAGGTTCTGAAAATCAGAGGGACTGGAAGAGCTGTGAGAAGGGTATGTCTAGGGGACCACGAGGTTAGAGAAGAAGGGATGGAGGCGAGAGGAAGGGGAGGTAGGGGACTGGGTGGGGTGGAAAGGCCAGTGCTTGCTGGTGTACACATGGCCCCGTGACAGCATGGACTGACTGACCCCATGGCCATGCCCAGACCTCTGGGCTTGGTGGTCTTGTTCCTGGGCAGGCTGAGGCCTTACAAGGCCCCCAGCGTGTTTTGCTCTCGATGGGCCTTCAGTACTAATCAGCTGTGTCCTCTCTGCCCTCCTTATCTCCTCCCCCTAGAGCCGAAGGACGAAGTGGAGGTGTCAGATGATGGTGAGTGCTGGCCACCTGTCCTCGGGTTGGCTCGAGGGGTGGAGGGGGCGAGCAAGGGATCTGATGGCTCACACTCATCCCGACCCCCACCCTGCAGATGAGAAGGAGCCCGAGATCGACTACCGGACGGTGACAGTCAATACCGAACAAAAAGTGTCTGACTTCTATGACATCGAAGAGAGACTAGGATCGTAAGTAGAGTGGGAAGCACGCTCCGGGCCCCAGGGTGAGGGTGGCGCAAGTCCCGCAGTTAATTCCTGGGTGCTGCCAACTCCCCAGCCTGAGATGCTTCTAGAATCAGGAGGGACTGACCCTGTCAGCACCTCCATGAGAGCATCACTCACCAGGGCTCTTTTAGGAGTTGTTGGTGCAGTTCTGCACTGGCCCAACTCTGTGAAAGCCTTGGGCAAGTCCTTCCTTTTCTGAGCCTCACTTCCCCACACAGGACTAAACCGAGGGGACTGGGTCTGGATAGGACTGTCTTTAGGATCCCTTCCATTGGATCCACAGAAGTCAGTTGAGCCTGATCAGCAATTCTTGGTTTGTGCTTCAGTAAACGCACACCCTTGAAATGCACAGCTGGTCATCACTGCTCACTTTATGAACTTGGTCCACGCTCTTTCTTCTGGCTCCTCCCTGGGGTGTGGACCCCAACCCTGAACCCTCGTCACAGCCAAGCCATCCCCCCGAGTAGCAGCACCCAAAGCTGTCCATTTCCCCCCTAACTCTCTATCCCTGGGGGAGTACAGGAGGTGGAAGAAAAAGGAATGGGCTCAACTTTTATTTCCAGTGGGTTTCTGGGAACTGAAGGAGCGACACCAACCTTGTAACAGCTCTGTGAAAGGAGCCCACACTGTCTGTGGGGGTTGTGTCAAAGGCACAGCACACCCCGTCAACCCATAGCGGGAAGCAGGGTCCTTCCTGGGCTGTCTCCAGGGGACAGGTGCTGGAGAGTTGAGTGGAAGGAAGGCAGCCACTCAGAAATTCTCTGTCTTGGGGAAGGACTTCCTCAACCTGACTTCATGGGTCCCTCTGCGGGGAATGGGAGAGAAGTCCATCAGCCAAGATTGAGGCCTCAGGCCAAGGAAATGACAATTCTGAAAGAACAGCAAGACTGGACAGTGCTCGGGTGGGACGATGTGGGCCAGGCACAGGCTGAGGTCAACAGTGATGGAGAGTAGGTTTGTCAGTATTAGAAATGCACTTCATTGATCTAGAGCTGGGGCTGGCAAACTTTTTCTGTAAGGGGCCAGATAGTCGCTATTTTAGGTTTTGTGGGCAATATGGTCTATGTTGCAACTCCTCCACTCTGCCAATAAAGCACAAAGGCGGCCGTAGACACTGTGCACACAAATGGGTGTAGCTGTGTTCCCATAAAACTTTATTTATAAAAAGAGGCGGGCCAGATTTGTCTCACAGGCCAGAGTTTGCCAACCCCAATTCAGTGGAAAGCTTGGCTAAATTTGCCTTTTCTCTCCTCCCCACTTTTCTTTGCAGTGGGAAATTTGGACAGGTCTTTCGACTTGTAGAAAAGAAAACTGGAAAAACCTGGGCAGGGAAATTCTTCAAGGCATATTCAGCAAAAGAGAAAGAGACTATCCGGCAAGAGATCAGCATCATGAACTGCCTCCACCACCCCAAGCTGGTCCAGTGTGTGGATGCCTTCGAAGAAAAGGCCAACATCGTCATGGTCCTGGAGATGTGAGTGGCCTGCAGCCCAGGCACTGTGGGTCCGGGAGCCCCACATGTGTCTCCCCCACTGGCTCACCCCAGCCCCTCTGCGCCAAGGTGCAGAACACTGCAGGCAGGGGTGTGAGATGCAAGTCTCGCTATGCTGTATGGCCAGGTGCTGACTGCTCGGAACAGCAGGTCTGTGTACAGTACTGGCCCTGCCCACTCTCCAGCAGCCCGGCTGCAGCCCCCTGCTCATTTCTATAACAAACTAGCAGATCTTTGAGGACCCCTGCCCCCTGTTCACGCATCTCCCCGTGAAAGGGCCAACGCTCTCCATAGGCTCCTTGGTTTCATTCAGGGGCGTTCTGACCTAGAGGTGGCTTTAGAGTGGAAGGGGAGGGACAGAGCAACTTCCTGACTAGCCTGCGAAAGAGGAGGGCGCCCAGGGCTGCGAGCTCGGCATGGGGAGTGTAACCTTCCTCCTTGCTGTGCTCTGCATGCCCGTCCACGCTTGTTTGTACCCTTGACTTCTCGCTCATCAAAGACAACTCACTCACTTTCTGTGCTGGGTTGTACGAAGGCAGGGAGATGGATCAGATGACCTCCAGCCAAGGCTTTCCTGGAATCCGTCGTTTCCTTTAGTCCCAATCCGCCACCTCCCTCACCTCTGAACCACCGGCTCACATATGCGCACACACACATGCACACACGCATGCACAAATGCACACATACACGCACACACAAACACATATGTACACACACACACAAATGCACATACTGGCATCAGTAAGCCAGGCATCCTCCACAGTGTCTGTATTTTCTAAGAGTCTCCTTTCCTTTTTTTAATCTGAATTTTTTTGAACATATGATACAGTCGCATCAAAAAATATAAGAAAATGCGCAATGAAAGGTCCCGTTCCCACCCCTGTCCCCCATCTACCCTGTTTCCACGCCCGACAGGCAACCAATTTTATTGGTTTTGTCTGTATCCCTCCAGGGCTTCTTTATGAAAATACAAGCATATGTGATACAAGTGTTCTTATTTTCCCCTTTTAACACAAAGGTCGCTTGTACTTACTACTCTTCTATACTTTGCTTCTTCTCATTCAGTGGTTTATTTTGGAGATAGTCCTGTAGCAGTAGCTAGTGAGCTTCCTCATTCTCCTGGCTCCACAGGGTGTCATCGCAGGCATATGCAACAGTTTATTTAAGCAATCTTTTGATAAGAGGTTGGATGGTTTCCAGGCTTTTGCGTTTACAAACAAGCAATGTTTGTAACCTTGTACACACATCTTTTCACTCATGCCTGTGTACATCTGTAGGATAAACTCCCAGAAGTGTGGGAATGTTACCAGATACATACCCAGGTCCTTTACTCACCATACAAGAGGGGCCAAATAAAAACTGGAATGCCAGGCTTATGGCAAGGAAAGAGTTTTTATTTTGGGTGACGTCAGCCAGGAGACGAGAGCTCTCATCTTTCGAGAGCTCCCAAAAGATGGGAGGCAAGGGGTTTTCAAGGTTGCGAGTTGGGGTTTTAGGTGGGGCAGCAGGAGCATGTGGCTGTGCTGCTTGGCACCTTCCAGCAGCCTGTGTTTGGCCTTGAAGACTGAATTTCTTTCCCTTGACTGTCGGGACTTTTCTGGTTAGTTTTCATTTTCAGCCTGCGTTTGGCCTTGTGAGGCTGAATCTTGATGTCAGGACCTTGACTTCCTGGGAAAGACAGCTCACTCATATACTAAGGAGGGACAGAAAGACTTGGTCAGTTTTAAACAACAGTTGATTATGCTGAATATGCACAGCTGCAGTTAGCAAAGCTTATTTCAAAGTTTTTGCTAACTTCTTTTAGCCCAGGGAAGATTTTTTAACTCCTTTGTGCTCGGTTTCAGGAGTGCTGGATCAAGGGGTATGTGCATTTGAAATTTTTAGAGATATTGTGAAATTGTCTTCAGCATCCTTGAATTGCTCACCACAAGCTTCAGGGATCTCAGGCCTTGGGAGAGGACTCTGTCAACATCTTGGCCTTCTTTCCCAGGAAAGACGAGGCCAGTAAGACATCCCGAAGCTTGAGGTCTGAGTCTCTCCCCTCACTCCATCTTTCAGTTTATGTTTTTTTAGGAAGCACAGTAGTGGTTAAGAGCACAGACTTGAGTCCCATAAACCTCACTTCCATCCCAGCTCTGCCTCTTACTTGTTATGCGACCTTGAATAAGTTACTCGACTGTGCCAATCCTTAGTTTTATTAACTGTGAAAAGAGGATATAAACCACCTCATGAATGCTGTGGGGATTAAATGGAATAATGTATGTCAGGCGTGGTGACCTATAATTGGGAGCTATTCTTAGTTGTATGAGGCATTCGTTGACTTTTTCTGTATCCTGGTCTTTTTTACACTTAAAATTATTTTGTGAGCATTTTAACACCCAAATAGGTGTTGGGGAACAAATCCTACTATTCAAGAGACCTGGTACTGTTGAGCCATTATTCTGTAATTGTTAAATCCTTCCAATGAGAAGAGGTATTTCAATTAGACTCCCTTTGGGTTCTCAAATTCTGCGATGCAGTGGAACCATAAAAGATTCAAAGAAAATCTCCATTCATACCTTAGAATCTGTTCTCAGCCCCGAATTCAAACTTGCCTCCCCACTCCCAGGAAAGACTTAGCTCAGGTCTATGGCCTGACCCATCATATGCTCACAATAACCCTGTGGGCTGCAGCTTTCGTATTTGTTCTAGAACAGGTTGCTTGGTCCAGGCAGTGTGGGCGTGTGAGGACATGTGAAGAAATGTCTTATCTTTAGAAGTTAAACCTTGAGCAAGTTCGTGAGAGGGGGCAGGGAGGAGGAGGAGGCAGCCAAGCCTGGGTAAGGCCGGGCAGCAGCACCAGTGGGCAGAATACCATACTTAGCTTGGAATTGGGAGCTGGCAAGCTGGATGGAAAATGCGGGGAGAAAACGTAAGAAGGCTTCAGCTGATCTGGCTTTCATCGCTCCAACCCACGCCTCCCCCATGGACAGGAGCAGGTCTTCCGTGCACAGAGGCCAGAGGATTCGCCTGCACTTGGGGTAGAGATTAGTTTGCCCCTAGATAGGAACTCACCCGGAGAAGAGGGAGCAGAGTCATCATCCATCTGTACTTGCCTTCCAGCTTAAACAGACTTGGCCACTGGGAGGCGAAAGGCTGGCTTTCAGCAGTACGGTTTGCTATTCCTCTGATGGAGAAATGGAGATTAAGAGAAGGACAATGCCTGGTGATGTAGAAAAAGGAAAATGTATTTCAGGGTCCCAGCCTCCAGTTCAGCTGCCTCAGATACAGTGAGAAATCAGAATGAATGTGTCTTCAGCTGTTCTGACCTCTGATGACTGGACAAGCCCCCGTCACTATAGCAGCTTTGGTCTGAGACAGGAGTTTCTTCAGGCTCCTGGCCTGGAGTCTGGGCTCGTCCTTTTGGGAGTGCTCAGGACGTCCCTGAGCACTGAAACAGATGTGCAGTTTAGGCTGAGTCATCCATGGCCCATCTCACCTTGGTGCTACCACTATCAAGATTTATCAAAGAACATTGAGCAGGCCACCATGAGACGAGGAGTTAGAGTGTCCAGGTACCGAGTCCCTTGAAGTGCTGTTCCTTCTGGCTGCCAATGAGGGCTGGCTGAGGTCTATAGTTTGGGGGATAAATTTGATCCCTTGGGATTAGGTAGCCTTGGCAGTAGGTATTCATTCATTCATTCATTCATTCACTCACTTACTCACTGTTAATTCGTGAAGCACACATTCCTTCTGGCCCAGTCTCGGCCCTCGGCATTATCACATCTCTGTGGGTGGCAGCTTCTTTCCACCCATAGTCTTGAGCATTTTGAAGAGAAACCTATATAGAGCCATTAATCATGTTTGTGTAACCCCTTCCTTCCTAGAAAATGGACCACAGGAACAGTTTTCAGAATATATTAAATATATTTAAATAGGTATGAACGTATATTGAATAGGTCACCTCTAGAAATGCAGCAGTCATTATCTCCGTGGCTCAGATTTCTACACTCATTGCCTCAGACATTCCAAGGACACTGCCAATAATGGTTTCTTGCTTTTTCAGAATATTTCAAATTTAAAAGCAAACATTTTGGGGCACCTTGTCTGTGCCAGATATTTCCAGGTGTAAAGAAGGGTCTACAGAAGAGCCAGACCTTGTTCAGACATATTCTCAAACAACTTTAAGACAACACAGACTCGATACAAAAAGTGCAGAGACACAGCTGTGGAAGCCAGGGAGGGAAAGATCATCTCGCATGGGGAAATCAGGAGTGATTCCTCAGAGGACAGGAATTTCAGCTGGCCTCCCAGGCTGATAATTGAGTAAGCCAGTGTTTCCCACACTTGTCTGGTCATAAGAAGGACCTGGGGTACTTATTAAAAATGTGGACCCTGGGGGCGGCCAGGTGGTGTAGCGGTTAAGTGTGCACGCTCCGCTGCGGCGGCCCAGGGTTCGCCGGTTCGGATCCTGGATGTGCACTGATGCACTGCTTGGCAAGCCATGCTGTGGTGGCGTCCCATATAAAGTAGAAGAAGATGGGCACGGATGTTAGCCCAGGGCCAGTCTTCCTCAACAAAAAAGAGGAGGATTGGCATCGGATGTTAGCTCAGGGCTGGTCTTCCTCACACACACACACACACAAAAATGTGGATCCTCAGATCCCTCCCAAGGGGAGGAGCTGGAGAATCTGTATTTTCAAGAGCCCCTAGAAATTCTTAAAAAAAAAAAAAAAAAAGCATTGATAATTAACATTATTGAGTACCTTAGTATGTGCCAGGCACTTCTAAGCACTTGAATTCACTCACTCAGTCTTCACAGCAACCCTGTGAGGTGGTGCTGTTTTTATCTGCATCTTACAGATGAGGGAATTGAGGCACAGAGATGTTAGGAAGCGCCTGAGACCTGAGAACGGGGATTCGAGTTTGACTTGGAGCCTCCCTCGATGGAGAGCAATAGAAACGGAGGGCTTGAGGGCAAGGCGCCACCTGCTGGCCGCCCAGGGACCTCTGTCTCCCTTGGTTCCAAAGCTTTGGTTCTAGCGCCCTCCAGTGGCTACTGGCACAACCTGACCTTTCCCAGCTCGGCCCTTCCAGAAGTGAAAGTGTTTGTCGTGTGGTAATGGAGGCAGACTGGCTGTGGTGTGCTGGCCCCATGGTGCATCCCTGTCTGTCTCTCCCTCAGGGGTCAATGACAAGACCCACTTGGCCCACGGCAGGTTGTCAAACGATAATTAATACTTGCTGAGCACCTACTGTGTGTCAGGCGTGATGCTTTACAAAAGTTCCTTCATTCCTAACAACTCTGTGAGGTAGGGACAGGTTAGGAAAGTGGGGCTCAGAAAGGTTAAGTAACGTGCCCAAGGTCACACAGCTTATAAAAGGCAGAGACAGGATTCAAACTCAGCTCTTTCCCTTCTTCATGATGACTCCCCTTAGAAGTGGGAAGGCCCTTGGAAGAGGACAGGCCCCAGAATGAAGCCCACCCAGCCTTTTTCAGCTGGTAAACCTACAGATCATTGTAGAAAAAAGCTTACTGATGTCTGGATGCTAGATAAATTACCAAGGAGATGACTTAAACTTTCTGAGCACTGAGCAAGGAAGGTGGGTCAGATGCCTGGGACAGAGGAACAGAGAGGACCCGTGCAACTCATTTACACTGAGGGGCAATATACCGGCTGGCTGTAGCCTCTGGGGCACTCCTTAGCAGAAGATGCCCGCTGTGGATGCCCAGGATCCAAAGTCTATCCAGGCAGGAAGGATGTACTACATTGCCCGCGTGCACAAGGGAGCAGGCAAGACAAGTTAGTCATGGCTGGAAGGAGTAAACTGATACTATAGACTCAGCCAGAGGAAGCAAATCAATCACGGCCGTAAGTAGAATGGGTTACAGCCAACAAATTTTAGAAAACGTGCTGAGGCTCCTTATTATTGAACGTATTTTTCTGTTCCTGGCCATGCAAAACAAGTACTATATTTTAAGTTTCAATTCTCTATGACTAAAAGTCCCAGCTGGAGTGTAAGAATGATCCCTTACACATCTGTCATCATTTGGGGGAAGGAGGTTACCTGGCCATTACCCTTGTTGCTAAGGATTCATGTCTGGGTCCCTCAGTTCATGACCACCCCTGAAATTGCCCAGCCCAGATGCTTCCCTGAATCCTCCAACAGCTCAGTGGGCACAGGCAGGGTCCCCCAAGCAGGATACCAGCAGGCCTGGGCCCTCTTCACATAATGGAAGGTTGGGACCAGTGTAATGGGACAGTGGCCTGGACTCAGAAAGCTGCGAAAAGTGCCCAGCACCCCCATACCTGGGCTTTCCTGCCAGTCGCCCCTCCCCCTGCCTGCCCTTGGCCAGACTCCCGGCCAGCCCCGGCTGCCCTACCCTGTAGTCTGACCACCCTCTGTCCCGCAGTGTTTCGGGGGGCGAGCTGTTCGAGCGCATCATCGACGAGGACTTTGAGCTGACGGAGCGGGAGTGCATCCAGTACATGCGGCAGATCTCGGAGGGCGTGCAGTACATCCACAAGCAGGGCATCGTCCACCTGGACCTCAAGCCCGAGAACATCATGTGTGTCAACAAGACGGGCACCAGGATCAAGCTCATCGACTTCGGGCTGGCCAGGAAGCTGGGTAGGGCCGATCCTCCTCTCCTGTTGTCACCAACATGTTGTTGGCAGTGGCTGTGGCCATCTGTTCCCCACACTGGGTACTAGCGGGAATGCTCAGTATTGGAGTTAAAATCAGAAACCTTGGAGCCTCTCAGGTGCGAATCCTGCCCCTCCCCTTTGCTAGCTGCGTGACTGTCAGTCTCAAATCCCTCATCTGTAAAATGGGGTCATAGTAGTACCCACCCCGTAGAGTCGTGAGGGGATCCAGTGAGGTGACATGGGTAAAGTGATCAGAGCAGGGCTTTGCACACAGTAAGCACTATGTAGGTGTTAGCTCTTTATTTTATTATTATTATTATTATCATTATCATTATCCCCTCTTGTATTTTTCACTCTGGTGCCTTCAGCAGCAAAACTCATTTTGGAGATGGTGCATCCTCATCTTTGCATCACACTGTACAGTTTCCAGAGCTCTCTCATACTTCCTCTCATTTGATTCTCACGGCAACCCTGTGAGGTAGACAGGGTGGATTTTATGAGCCCCACTTTATAGACGAGGAAACCAAGATTCATAGTAGCTGTGCCCGCCAGGTCCCGCCAGGAGCCAGGGAGGTGCTGGGCCTAGAATAAGGACCCAGATCTGGTTCAGGATTCTCTGACGCTCCTCTGTATTCCTGCCCCGGGGAGGGGGGTGTGATGGGGGATGGTGGTCGGCGTCTTGTACCCAGCCCTGAAGTCATTTTAGTCGGTGACTGTCTGCATCACACTCCGCCTCCATCCACCCTGCGTATGTAGCTCTTCCATGTCTCAGGAATTGAGGAAATAGCTTTACCCTCCAACTTCTGACCACTGCCCTATTAACAAGGAGCCGGAGGCCGCGTGCAGGCTGGCCTGTCTTTCACCACCCTGGGGGGAGCTAATGCCACCTGGTCAATCTCCTCCCAGGAGACCAGTCCTGGTTGAGGCCACGTGGGCTGTAAAGAGGAAAGTGAGGGAGTGAGGTCCTGCCAGGCTGTGACCCGCACAGTGATCGGCGCCCTGAGGCTGGGCGAATACACCTCCTCTGCTTTCTCCTGCTGAAGGCGTGGCGTGGGGGCAACGGCTGGTGGACAGGGCCTGCCTTCAGACAGGAACCACCGATGATTTAAACAAATAGTGCACCCCTGACCTCAGGACCTGGCAGTGTCAGAGCCCAAGGGACACAATGTGTAGGCTCTCATGGTGAGGCGATATGTGGGGACAGTGTGTCCACGAAGGACCAGAGAACTGGGAGGGTTAAAACCTAGCAGGAAGGGTTCAGGTTGGAGTGGGAACAGAGCTTCCACATCTGAGGGCTGTGACATGGTTTGTTGTAGAACCTTTGCTGTGGGCTCTGTGGTTAGACAAGATCAGGTGTGGCCCACAGGCCAAAGGTGTGCCCCCCCACCGCTGAAGAGGTCCTCCAGGAGGGGTACCTGTGAAAGCTGGTGCCTTTGTGCATACTACCCTGCACCTCTGAGTCCGGTATGGCTCAGAGGCACCACATTGGTTAAGGTTTTCCTCAGCTATCCTCCAGGCGGCTCCCGGGAGGAGAGACAAGACGCTACACGTGGTGAGGCCGTGGAGTGGGGTGGGGGTGGGGATGGGGGGGGACATGGCTCAGGAGTCAGACCACCTGGGTGTAGGTACTGGCCACCACTTATTAAATCACTCCATTGCCCTCGGCCTCTCTTTCCTGCTCGGGAGCATGGGAATCATCCCTCCCTCTTAGGGTTGTCGAGAGTGTTACACAGGAAAATCCTTGTAAAGCAGACAGCAGGTATGTGGGACATAGTGAGTGTTAGGGATTATTATCAAGCACAGGTCACAAGCCCTGCCTCAGGGAACTCATGGGAGAGACAGACACATGCACCACCATTGGGGGCAGGGGCTTCAACAGCCTCTTCTTCCCACCCCACCCCGCTCAGGGCATTTGAGGTTCCACGGATGCGTCGATGCATTTGTTTCATGGGGATGCTGAGTGTCTTTGTGCCATTCTCCAAGGACAGAGCAGCTGAGGGCCAAGCCTTGTCTCTGTCCGTCCGGGGTTGGGCCCAACGCACAGATGAGGGCAGCCGCTTACTGCAAACTGGCTCCGGGCTGTTCTGGTGACCGTCTCCATCCTTCTTACAGAGAATGCAGGATCTCTGAAGGTCCTCTTTGGCACCCCAGAATTTGTGGCACCTGAAGTGATCAACTATGAGCCCATTAGCTACGCCACAGACATGTGGAGCATCGGGGTCATCTGCTATATCCTGTGAGTCTTGGGGCACACGGGGGAGGAAGCAGAGTTCCACAGGAGGGTCCCCAGGCTGCCCTGATACTGAAGGCGTCAGGATGGGTCATGATGGGGAGCCTGCCCCACAGTTAGGAGGGCGGCAGGCTCCCATCTCCCTCCCCACCAGCCTGCCCAGCTCCTATAGTCCTGATGCGCTGAGCAGCCCATGTCACACTTCTGTAGGAGCCTCTGGCTCCACACACCGAGATCCCCATCCTCACCATCCCTGATGCTGGCCAGCCTGGGGCCTTTGGTCAGGAGGGTGTGAATGTGGCCAGTACCAAGTAATTTACCTTCAGGTGTGTAGGCGGGATCACAAAGGTGGGAGGGAGCCCAGGTGCACTTCTCCTGTGGGTGTCATCGTTGTCTTCCGAGGCAGCACCCTGTCCTCACGGGAGGGGGACTCCAACTGCCAGCCTCGTCTCTGAGTCCAGTATATGCACCGATGAATAAGCACTTTTGATGAGCCTTCAGCAGGGCCAACAGACACCAGAAAACCACACGGTAATTAGAATCGAGAAATCAGGTGGAAAATAGCCATTTCAGTTAACAATGCTGGAGAAAACAAGTCACGTAGACTAGTGCTTTGCAAACTTGAATATGCATGAATCCCCTAGGGCTCGCCTTAAATTGCAGGTTCTGATTCAGAAGGTCTGCGGGACCTGAGATTCCACATTTGTAAGAGGTTCCAGGTTGCCAATGGTGCTGATCGAAGGATGGTACCAGGCTCTAGAACGCACCCTGTTGGTGGGTCTCACGGATTGAGTCTCTGAGCCTGGGCTGCAGACAGTCATCAGCCTCAGAGGCAGCCCCTAAACTTGTATGGCAACACACAGTTGTGGGATGGTCTCCCAGAAGATACAGATAGGCATGCTTGCATTTTGAAAAAATATTTTTTGTTGTCAATACAACAGGAAAAATTAGGGGCCGGCCCCATGGCTTAGCGGTTAAGTGCAAGCGCTCCGCTACTGGCGGCCCGGATTCGGATCCTGGGTGCGTACCGACGGACTGCTTGTCCGGCCGTGCTGAGGTGGCGTCGCACATACAGCAACTAGAAGGATGTGCAACTATGACATACAACCATCTACTGGGGCCTTGGGGAGAAAAAGGGAAAAAAAAAAAAGGAGGAGGATTGGCGATAGATGTTAGCTCAGGGCCGGTCTTCCTCAGCAAAAAAAGAGGAGGATTGGCATGGATGTTAGCTCAGGGCTGATCTTCCTCACAAAAAAAAAAAAAAACAAAACAGGAAAAATGAAACATTTCGTAGAAAACTTGAGGAGAATCTCTAAGAATACTTTCTCAGACCCCAGTGTGAGAAACGGCTCCAGGTGAGTCTGCTGCTCAGCCAGGTGTAGGAACCACTGTTACAAAAGCGTTACAGAAGTGGAGCGTGCAATGTGGCTTTGTTTGTGCATTGTGGCTTTTTCACATGCTCGGGAGTTGTCCTCTCACTGTGGCCTGTTAGAACTGCCTCCCTCAGTTGAACATGTGTCACGGGTTCTGTACCCTAGAGAGTCATCTTCTTCTCTGCCCGGGATCACCTCCACCACCACAGCCTCCCCCAGAGCAGTGGAGAAGAAACACCCTGGCCAGGAGTATGTTTCCCTGCCTCTCCCTACCCAGCCCCCTCCTCCTACCCTGGCCACACTCTCCCTACCCCAGCCCCACCTCCCGACCCGGCCCCCCTCCCCCGGGCCCCCTCTCTCTACCCCAGCACACCCTCTCTATACCCCAGCCACCCCTCTCCCTACCCCATCCCCCTCTCCCTACCCTGGCCACACTCTCCCTGCCCCAGCCCTACTCCGGCAGACAGGGAGCTGATGTGTAAAGAAAACGGCACCTGATTCTGTGCTCCTGGCTCCCTTGGTGAAAAGTAAGGAAGCGTGGGCCCCGCCTGTCCCTTCTGGGGCTGTGCCAGGCTAGATGGTGCTCACACTGGACCCCTGGTCGCTGGGCAGACACCTGACCCTTGAGAAACAGTCTTTGGTCTGCTCGTCTGTTCAGACCCAGCTGTCCTGTGTCCTGGCTTGGTTCCTGGGTCCCTCTGCAGCTGTCATGGAGGCTCGCATCACTGGCTTCAGTTGATTTTCCCACTGCTATGGGATCGGGGTCATCTGCAGCCATGGATTTCCCCTTGGGCTCTTGTTTAATTCTCAGAACAAACCTGGGAGTGGCTTGTAGCAGGGAATCGATCTTCATTTGACATTGAGGTGACCCTGGCCAAGGAAGCCATGGCCATCTACTTCCCACAGTCTTAGAGGGTGACCCCTGTCCCAGTTCTCCCAGGACTTATGGGTTTCCCAGGACACAGGACTTTCAGTGCTAAGGCAAGGACAGTCTCAGGCAAACTAGGGCATTAGTCACTCTACTGGTCAGGAGCAGGGCGGTGACTAGGGTGCTCAGTAGATTTCCACAGTGAACCACCCATGTAACCTACAGCAGATCAAGAAACTGAACATCACCAGGGCCCCTGCAGCCCTGCTGGTGCCCATCCTGATTCCCAGCCCCCAGAGGTAACCATCATCCTCACGTCTAACATCATGCCTTAGTTCCGCCTGATCTTGTACTTTATGTAAACAAAGGAGTGATACAGAAAGAAGTGTCTGGCTTCTTTTGCTCAACATTGTTTGTGAGATTCATTCAGATTATTGTGTGTAGTTGTAGATTGTCATTCTCAGTGCTGCGTAGTATTCCACTGTGTGACTGTCATCCAATTTATTCATCTGTTTTACGTGGATGGGCTTTTCAGTAGATTCCAGTTTGGGGTATTACAAGTATTCTGGTGCATGTCTTTTAGTGAATATATTTATGCATTTCTGTTGGATATATAATCTAAAACTAGAATTACTGGGTCATAAGAGTACTTTATTTTAAAATGAAAATTCTTTTAGGTGGAGGAACATAATAATTTGGATAATATGTTATACTGTTCACTAGATTACTTTTAAAGCTAAGACTAAGAAATAGGGAAGACCTCTCTGAAATAGGAAGACAATAATTGTGATGAATGGGGCCCCAGCCTAAAAGTCTTTGGGCAGGCGATGCCAGGAAGGGGGGAGACATATGTCTGCCTCAGGGAGGCAGGTGAGGAGTGGGCACAGGTCAGCCCTGCACAGTGTCCTGCGGCCTCACCAGCGTCCTCCATCCTGCACCCACCACTGTGGGCTGCTCTGCCCGCTGGGACTTTTCCAGGCTGGCTCTCACAGCAGGGGCTGAGGTCTAGGAGTTCCACTCCTGAGCTGGGGCTCTCAGCAGAGCCTGTGGTGCTAAATACAAAAGTTGCAGCCAACTGGACTGCTTCCTTTCGGTTCCTGCTATGCAAAATTCTGGAGCTGCTGCTGGAAGCCCCCAGAAGAGGTGCTCTGGCGGCCCCCATATGCCTTCTGTCCTTTGGAGCTTGGTCATCTGTCTAATGGTCCCTGTTCGGGCCGCCGTCCACATTTGTAACATGTAACCTCCCATGGATCTCCTTTCTGAGGCCAGTGAGAGAGGGGGAGGCCAGGAAGTTGGAGGGGGATGGGTGATAACTCGTTTATTATTCAACACGTGTTTGGTGCATGCCTCCCAAGTGACCAGCTCTGTCCCCGTAGTTGCTCTGACTCTGTTGGAGGAACTCTCTCTCAAACCCCTCAGAGAGGTCGGGGTAGTTCCCGCCCCAGCACTGGAGACACTGGCCCACTGCCTGCCCGGCTCTTCCAGACAGGGTAGAGATGCAGCGGGGGGGGTTGTGGCCCCAGCCTCTCACCCCTGATTCTGAAGGGAGGTAGGAGGTCTTGTGAAATCTCCCGGAGACTCTTCTGGTGTTAGCAATACCCGTTTGGTTTCTGGCAGGAGAGAAGCCCGGGGCGCTCCCGCCTCACTTCATTGTGGAGGACATTCTAAGCCTTCTCTTCTAAGACCTCCTTCCCTCTCCTGCCACCCTCTCCCCTCTTTCCTGAGGACTTGGTGTTCCCTCACTGCCTGTGGGGACACCCAACCCTGCTCTGTGCCCTGCCCTCGTCCCTACTCCAGAATTCCTTCCCCCCACCCCCAAACCAGAGTGAAGAGCCATTACTGCTCTGCTTTGTCCTCCCGACCGTCTTCCTCCTGGCTCAGTGACAGACTGCCCATTTCAGCTCATTTGCTGACCACCCACCGTGGTCCAGAGAGCCAGAGCCATCCCCACCTCAAGTCTACCTTCTGGAGACAGCAGTGCGGTGAGCTGGGGAGAAGTCCCAGTGCCCAAGCATTGGGTACCTACTCAGTCAGACTTGGGTTTGGGTGCAGGGCCCTTCAGAGGGATCCAGTAGCTCCACCCAGGGCTGCCTCTGCCCTCCCCTCACTGAACCCGGACATGCTTTCTGATTGCAGCTCCTGCCACCTCCAGGTGCCCTGCGTCCCTGCCAGGCACGGCCACCACCTGCAGGTTTTGCTTTCCAGGGACTTGGGCTGTGGTTAGTGTGACTAAACCCCGGTCTCTGCTTCCCACGCCCCTGCACAACACAATGCTCAGGCCTTCCTGTGGGACCGGCCCACCCTCTCAGATCTCCCCGCCACACCAGGGAATGAATACTTGAAGGCTAAAATGAGATGCAAGACTAACCCCTTTCTAGGCACTCAGTAGTTCTGCTGGCAAATGTGTGGTCCACTCGGCTGGCCATTCATGCAGCAGAGTTGTCTGCTGCTTGAAAAACACCACGGACAAAGTGTAGTTTGAGAGGCATTTCTGCACCCTTCTCTCTCCTGACGTTCTACCCTGCAAGCAGAACAGGCATCCACATCAGATTCCCTGGGCGAAGTTTTGCTACAGTTAGAAATTAAGAATTAAGAAATTAAAATACCCTGCAGCCATGACCTTTGTGATTCGTCAACACAGAGACCAATATTAAGCCATTAAAAATGAGCATGAAGACTCTGTAATACACTTGTGAAAGACAATGTCAGTGAAGAAACAGTAGAGCATCCAAGAAGTTGCCCACACTGGTTTTGTGAAAACCAGATAAATCCATTGGTTATGCTGGGGAGGAAAAAACTTTCCTCTACGCTCTTAGGTTCTGTTCTTGGGGGACTGCAAATCAAACTGACAAAAGACAGATTAACAAGAAAAAAAAACAGATTTAATTATGTACATATGCACCGGTGTTCACAAAGATGTGTGACTCAAGGAGGCATTTAGAATTTGGGGCTTATATACTGCTTTAACAGAGAACAATAAATTGTAAAGGAATAACTAGACAAAGGAAAAGAGGTTTTGGGCTTCTGGAGGGGGTACATTGTGAGAAAGTGACTAGGAAATGTATGATAAATAAGGGTTGTTTAGCAAGGTTTGTTACGCAGATAAGAGTCTTTCTCCTCTTCCTGGTACGGTGGAGGGGACCACCTTTACAAATGGAAATTTGTGTCATGTTAACAAAGAGACATTTATATCCTGCTTTTAGACAGAAAGAGGGAGGGCAGAGAGCTAATTGCCTTCAACTCAAAATAATCCTGACGGCAAAGTGGCATATCTTGGAGTGGCATACTCTGGTCCCCTTCAGTTCAAAACTAGGTAAGACTAGGGAGAGAGGTGAGTAGTTGTGTTGTTAATGCTAAGGTTATTGTATTTGTCGATTGGGTTGATTTTTTTTTGTAAAAAGACACATGATCCTTATGCAAATTACAGCAAGAAAGAAAAAGTCCAAAAAAGAAAGTTTAAAAAAAATCCTGCAAAATCCTACCGCGTAGAAACAGCATTACTAAAATTGAAACACTCTTTGTCATCATGCTCTGCATATATTCCAAGTTTTATTTTAGAGTTGTCCTTTTTAATGGGGGAAGGCTGGGGGAGCTCAGGCAGGCAAGGAGCCAGCCGAGTCTTAGGGGGTGTTTCAGATGGATGGGCTGCCAGGAAGGAAGAGCGCCCGAGGCAAGGAGACTCCCCGCCCCCACTGTGAACATTACAGAGATTAAGCCCTATCTTTGCAGGATTACAGCTCCTAATTAGGAAAGGACATTTACAGAAGGGGACCTTCCACATTCCACAGCGGGGCTGTGTGCTTTTCCTGCAGTCTTTTGGAGTGCTGCGGGACTTCCCCACTTCTCTGTTCCAAATGGAAAACGTGAAGATAGAAGTAGGCAGGTAGCGACAAACAAGAGTCAGGCTGCTTCTTGATGGGGCTGGCTTAGGTCTCACAGGATGGCAGAGACAGGAAAAGCTGGGAGCCCCTAGGAATTCTAGCCTACCCTTGGTGTATAAAAGGGGAAACTGAGGCCCAGAGAGGGGAAAGGAGTCACATATGACAATGCCGACTTAGGGACTGATAAGCTCCCACCCTTCCCTCATTGTGAAGTGACCGAGAATGATTCTCTCCGTGCCTCCTTAAAACATGTCAGTGTCTTCCTTTAAGACACTTTAATGCCATCTACCAAAAGCCCTTACTCAAAAACACAAATATATTAGTTAGGGTGATATAATTCACATTGCAAAAGCTTTCTTCCTTTTACAAAAGGTTTCCTCAGAGGGTTTCTCCTAATAGCAAGCTTCCCTCACAGTATTTCAATGGGTTTTGTTTTATAAAACTTAGTTTTCAGGTACAGGTATATTTTATAAGCTGAGGCCTCTGGATGCCAAAACAGCTCCAAAAGGGCTTGTGTTATTGTTTATGGTGATCAATTCATAAGGATTGGGGGAAGGGACGTTAGTGAAGCCTTAACTTAGGTCGATGGCATGAAGGCCCCAGATCCATCTTACGGGGCTCAGAGGGGTCAGGGCAGGACCAGCTACATAATTTGTGGGGCCCAGTGCAAAATAAAAAGGTGGGGTGACTCGTTCAAACATTATTAAGAATTTCAAGGTGACAGCAGCAGAGCATTAAACCAGGAGTGGGGCCTTCTAGGGGTGGGGCTCTGTGCAGCTGTGCCAGCCTCACACCCACAAGCCGGCTCTAGGTCAGAGTGAATGGTGGGGTGGATGGTCCGTGTGAAGATGAGGTGCACAAAGGTGAGAGGGGAGGCCAGTTAGCCATAAATCTGTTCTATTCGGATTTGAGATACTTTGCCTTCCGAATTTTATTTGGCTTACGCTATTGGTGAATGAGTATACCTGGGATCGCAGGTTGGTGAGCAGTGGGGGTGAGCTGTGTAATATCTGTGGTCACGCACCAAGCTCCTTACTGTGGACCAGGCCTCATGCCCGTGCTCTGCACTGCAATTTGCTTCATCTTCATAGAAATATTCGTATAAAGTAGCAAGTGAGATACAGGCTCTAGAGAGAGATGCCGGGGTTTAAATCTCACTGACCTTGACTCCTTGGACAAGTTACTTAACCCCACTCTGTACCTCAGTTTCCTCTTCTGTTAACAAAGTAATGAGTTACCTGCATTATAGGGTGGTGTTAAGATTGAGTGAGTTCATCTATCTTCAGCTGTTTGCCCAGGGCCTGGCACATAGCAAATGTCTGATAAATGTCTGCTGCCCTGATGACGATGATGGAGGAGAGGGAGGAGGAGGAAGAGAAGTAGAATAAGTAGAAACAGAAGAAGTAGTGACCTTGCTATAGTTAAGTAGTAGGTTCTCCATTTTACGGAGGAGGAAGCTGGGACACAGAGAGAACAGGGAAATGGTCCAAGGGCATCCAGCGAATGAACAGGCTGTGCTCTTTCCTCCGCCATGGCACCTCTTAGGGACGCTTTCTGGTTTGGCCTGAAATGCCTGAGGTGCACTGAACTCAAGTGTCGATGGATCACCCATCCCGCGTTGCTGGTTCAAAGTCCACTGTGCATCCACACACCTTTGCTAAGCGTCCCAAGTGTGCTGGGCCCTCTTGTGGGTGCTGGAGGGTATGAAGATGAGAGGTGGAAGGGAGCAGGGACAGATGGGGGACAGATAAACAGTGATGAGGGCTGTACCACATGGCCAGTCCATGGTGAGGGGGGCAGGAGCGCTGGGAGGCAGGGAGGGGCTCCTCCACACGGGGACTTTGGAGAAAGTTCTGTGGGGCGAAGTTCTAGCCTGGGCTGTGGGGAAGAATAGAAGACCGGGGAAGGGGGTGGGACCTGCTGGGTACCATGTGGAAGTCGTAAACTGAAGTAAATTCCTCGCCTCAGCCTCACAGGTAGGTGGCGTCGGGAGGCAGGTGACACCCTAAGAGTACAGTGAGCACTAAGAGACCGGGCCACAAAAGCCTGGGGAGCCACACCCTCTCTTCTTTCCTTGGTGGGAGGAGAAGCAGGCGTGAGGGCGTTTGGGGGTGCGGAGCTTTGTCAGCCTTCACCTTTGACCTCAGCACTCACTCGGGGGGACCGTCCCACCCTGGGCTCCGTACAACCGCCCCATTCACCTGCTCTCCTGCTCTTATCTCCCAGGGTCAGTGGACTTTCCCCCTTCATGGGTGACAACGATAACGAAACCTTAGCCAACGTCACCTCAGCCACCTGGGACTTTGACGACGAGGCGTTCGATGAGATCTCCGATGATGCCAAGGATTTTATCAGCAATTTGCTGAAGAAAGATATGAAGTAATGAGCTGAGATTTCAGTCTTTTCAGCTCCCCCCACTCTCTGGACTGGCGTCTGGAAGCAGGGATTTCCTTTGCCTGTCGTGGGTCCCTCCTCACCTGATTGGGGAGGGTGGGCATTAGGAATGGGGTGGGGAGGGGTCTTCCTGTGCCCCAGCTCCCTGGTGTCAGACACTCTCCTCGTCTTTAGAAGCACAGAAACCTCACTTGAAGAGCAACGCTTGACAGAGTGTTACAGGGCGAGGGGCAGCTTGTTGTGTATGAATAATGACGGCCCCTTTTATTTTCCATGTCCAGCTGTGGCCCGTAGAAGCCCTGCTGAAACCTCAGCCCCTCTTCAGGGGTTGCACAGGAAGTATCCTATTTGTGTGTCCTGATCATGTCCCCAGACTATTCTGGCTTGGTGTTTTTTTCGTATCTAAGTTATTTAAGAACTACCTGCCTGAATATGGCCAGGTAGCCTCTACCGCTGGCCAAAGTTAGGCTGTGATCCCAGAGCACCGGGCTCAGCCCTCTCCCAGCTCCATCTCTGTCCCCCCATGGCAGTGCAGACTGTGAGGTTCCCCACCTCTGCCTTCTTCGGTTGCCTGGTCAGTGGATGAATATATAAAACAGTCACGAACAGTGGGAGGCCGATGTGTTCAGGCATGTAGATGGCCTAAGGCTGTGGGGAAAGGTCAGACTCACAAGGCACTCAGTAAGTATGTCAGTGAGAGAAGAATGGAGGTTGGAGTTGTAGAGGAGACTGAGCAGAGGAGGTGAGGTTGGAGGGGGTCTTGGTTGTGGCTTGGCAGAATTCACCGGTGAGGACTCTCTTGGTGAGGGGGACCAGCTAAATTAAAGCAGGTGAGGTGCTGTGCGTGTGTAGGGAGAGCTGGCCTGCCCCAGGGGAAGGGAGTAATGGGATAGGAGCAGGTACGAGCGGCTGGCCTCTTGGGCTCCTCACCCGCTCTGTAAACAGGTGGCCAGGTGAGGCAGGGCCTGGCTCCAAGGGCCCCACAGAGTCGTATTTGGCAATAGGGAGCAGTTATGAGCTTTGCTCTGGAAAGGTGATGTTGAAATAGGTGGCATGCCAGATGATGAGAAGGGGAGGAGCAGCCTAACTCCATGGGCAGGCAGGAGGCTCTGCATTCGCCAGGTGACTTTGTGGCCTAGATTCTGCCCTGTCTGCCTGGCCCCCAGAAACCCCCGAGGCTGCCGGTCATCTTGCTCACCTCTGGGAGAAATCCTGTTTGGGACAGAAGAGCACAGTTGCTAAAGGAGCAATGCTGGAGGGTCTCTTAGAATGGTTCTGTCTGATTTTCTGATTACGTACCCTCCTCTCAGTCCTTTTTAGCCGTCTCAGGGCCAAACTCCTCCAGAGGCTACATTCTACACTCCTTGACAGGGAGGTCTTTTTCACATTTTGCTGTCACAGTCTTTGTATCCAAAGGAGGTATGACCTAAGGAAAATCTGGATGTTGTGGGGGGTCTAGATTCCCTTCGGGTGTGAGGGATCCACACTCCAAAGGTGCCTCAGGGAGATGCAGACCTCCTTCCTAATAACTCTGGTCCAAAGATTGCTTTTGTTAACCAAGCTTCATTCACCGAAGACTTGGTAAATGACGTATTGTGTATATACCCTATTTTGACCTTGAATTAATTCAGTAATGAGCTGTGTTGACCCCTCTATGCTCGTAAAATGGACTCAACAAAGAACTAATTTCAAATAGGTCAAGACACTAGATGTTCATAAGCTCTTAAACTCAGCATCTCTTCAGCCAGAAATCTCCATCTATCAGCAGTTTTTAAAATGTTTTTCTATTATGTAATTAATACATGTAAATTGTAGAAAATTTGAATATAAGAAAATTTAAATAATCCATAATCCCTTTATCTAAAGATCACTACATTTTGCTATACTTAGCAAATTTTCCTATACTCAGTTTTCTACATATGTTCGCTTATGGTTCTTTGGGCTTTCTTAGTCCTATTACAATTAAGGTGATGGCCCTGAAGTATTTCTAGACTCCCAGAGCTTTCAGAAAGATTAAATGAGTCTCAGCGCAGTTCTAAGGTTGTCATAATTCATAGGTTGTATGTAGGACATACCTCAGTTCTAACAGGAGAAACCTGATACTCAACCACACCGTAAGACATAAGAGTTCAGTGGTCCTTGGAGACTTGGGCCTAATATTTCACTATCCAGGGAGGCAGAAGGATTAGGCCTCTACAACCCCAAACCCAAACCCCATGTGACCAGCAGAATGACCCCACCCTGGAATATGGTGCCAGCCATTCCCAGACTTGTCTGTCCTCCAGCACTTACCCTTCCTAGACCCCAGGGGCAGGTCATGAGACTCCAGTTGTCTACTTGGTGGTTAGGTCTTCTTAACACCAACCTGTTCTGGGTCTAATCAGAGTAACCCAGACCAAGAGAGGGAAAAGGCCAGGGACACAGTGACCCTGATCTCGGTGGATGGACTGGGAGTAGAGAGCCCTGGAGTCTGCCCTGTGTGACGGGGGACAGGTGACCTCCCATTTCTGATCTGACCACCAGTCTCTGAGGTCCCCTCCTGCTCAGAAATCCTCTGATCTTTGCCTCCATCAGAAACCGCCTGGACTGCACCCAGTGCCTTCAGCATCCATGGCTAACGAAAGACACCAAGAACATGGAGGCCAAGAAGCTCTCCAAGGACCGGATGAAGAAGTACATGGCAAGAAGGAAATGGCAGGTAATGAGGTGGTCCCTTTGGACTGGGATGTTGGCCCTCATATTTGCTTTGTTCAAGCCACCCTCATTCCAAGCTTGCTCTGGCCTCACTCCAAAAATGTTTAAATTTGTTTCTGAAATAGTCTGGGGCGGAGACTGACATTTCATGTCCTCGTGGCTAGGGAACAATGTTACCTTTAGGACTATTTGGCAACCCTGGAGAACGCAATCTCCTTAAAGGTGGTGTGATGGTCTTACATTTCCTTACGATGAAGGAGGAGGGCACATGATGTACAAAGAGAAACACAGTCCTCACCCTCTAGGGAGATTGTATGTTACTAGCCACATGCCCTTGGGCAAGTGACTTAACCTTGCCGTGCCTTCATTTTCTCATCTCTATGGTGGGGATAATCATGGTACCACCATCACAGCAGTGTTATGAGAATTATATGAGATAATCTTCATCTGGCCTTTAGCACATTGCCTGGTACATAGTAAATGTGAAAAAAATGACACCAGTAGCTAACGTGTGGAGGGCTGGCCATGTGTCAGGGAACATTCAACGCACTTTGTATGCATTAAATCTTTTACTCCTAGGAGGCAGGTACTATTATTACCCCCGCTTTTCAGACAAACTGAGGCAGAAAAAGGTTAGGAAAGTCACCCAGGGTCACGTACCAAATAAGTGGGAAAGTCAGGATTCAAACCCAGAGCCTGGTTCCAGAGCACACAGTCTTAACAAATCTTAACAAGGACACAGAATTACGTCCGACTATTAGCAGATGGATAAAATGATCACCCCAAACCATAGAGAACTTATCATCATCTGTTTTATTACTTTTACTATCACTATTGGTATATAAAATTCCTGGGCCACTAGAGGGTCCATGTTTTCTATACTCAAGAATGTATAGTGTGATGGGGAACTGAAGCCAATAGACATAAAAGGACATAACGCACACCAAGAATGATAAACTATCAGTATAGCTCTCATACCCATATATGTGAGTGTGGACAGGAGAATGGAGCCAGGCACACCAGAGTGGGATGTGGATGTGAGGAAATGCTGCCAGGGCTGGAGTTTGAAATTGGTCATAAAAATGGGCTGGAACACCGAGAAGAGGGGATAACAGCACAGATGGAGGAAAAGGCACAGAGGTGGGGACCACACCTTACCCTGGTTTTGCCGGCCTGGCAGGAGCAGAATCTTTTAGCTAGGCAGTCAGGGGTCCTGGGGCATTTAGACCTTGCCTATGTGGCAGAGAAGAAGGAAATCACTGTTATAGGGGTAAGTGGGACACTGGTAATTTGCCACACAGGATGGCTACACCACAGTTCCCTTGAAAAGTACAACTTCACACAAAGGTGGAGAGACGGAGCAGAGGTGAACGAGGGGCTTTGGATGTTTGGGTGTAAGGGACCACCATCCCCTGTACATCTTAGCCAGAACCCCCCACAGCAGGAGTCAGTTCTTGGTTAGCTCCCTGTGTGGTGGAGGCTAGGTGGATTGGCCTCCCTCAAGTACCAGGTGAGGTGGAACACCTGTGCTGTTTACCTTACCCTCTGGTGCCATTAGGATCCAATGAAATCAGAGTTACAAATTCTTAAAAAAAAAGGGGGGGGGGCCCATAAAATCAAAGGTTGGCTTTATTAATGATCTTATGGCCAGTAGATCTCAAAGAAATAGCGGGATTTCTGGAGAAATAGCTGGTATGTGGGGTGGGGTGGTCCTCAGAGCGGCGAGTCTCACTGGGTTTTGCTTGGACGGGGCTGTGGGTTAAGGGGCAGCCTTATCACTTCAGGCTTTCCGGGAGCAACGGCACATCTGCTGGTGAACCAAAGCCAGGAAGAGCCTTAACCCAGGGGACAGGCACAGAGGAGAGATAAGGACATGAGAGAGGAAATAAATGGAATTTTTTAGTCAGATGGGTCAGGGAACCATAATTTGTGCTGATATTTTAATCACTTAAATTTTTTTCTGGTTGCTTACAGTGTTATTAGCCATAAGGTTTTCTGGAAGTGAGAGGGGAAAGAAAAAGGTAGAATTCAGAGAGGAAACCTTAATTTCATATTTTAATATAAGTAGCAGCATTTGGAAATGGTTTTGCCACAAAAACAGTGGTTAGGTTGCACAAAATTACACATAAAAGTTGTCTACAAAATCCCATTTGAGACATAATGTCCCTGAAGCATCATTTCCCTGGTAATAGCCCAGCTGCGTCTGATCATCTTGTGTTACATTTCTTCCTTAGGAAAATGTTTTCCACATTTTTAACTCCAGATACCAGGACCTTAGCCCCGCTGGAGTAGGGGGTTCCCTCTCAGAGCAGCCGAGGTTCTGTGTGGTGGGGCGTGGCCGGGGGGTGGAGTGGAATAGAATGGGGTGGACAGTGGTGGACAAAGGGCCAGGGCAGGCACAGGTGGCCCAGAACTCTCCACAGCTGCACAAGAGACGGTTCCTTATTATCGTTCTGGTGTGGTTTTCGTAAGAGGCCCAGGAGGAAGGAAGTAACATGAGAACAAATCCCTACATTGCAAGGCAATATATCGATGACTAATCACATTACTGATCTTATAATGAAGTTATTCTGAAAGAAGGTAGGTCTTTTTATTTATATAAAAGAATTCTAAAAAGATATGGTGGTGATAGTAGCATTGAGGGTGGGTTAGTTGAGCAGAATAATGGGACTTTTGCCTGCAAAACTGGAAGCAAAGGACTAGGAATTGGAGGCCCATGGCAGCTGTCTTTATTTCCCGGGAACCACGAAGACCCCAGCAGTATGGACAAAGGGCCATAGGGAAGAAAGCTTTCGACTCGATATAGCACAGAGTATTCTTGGCCATCCCATTTGGATACGCGTTTCTCAAGGGAAATTGTGGTCTTGGGGCTGTTGGTATATACATAGTGTCTAAGACGGCTGGCTGGCTCCAGGGTGACCAGCCTGCCCTGGTTTACCAGAGACTGTCTCCGTTTTAGCACTGAAAAACCCTCAGTCCTGGGCAAACTGGGCTGGTTAGTCATCCTCACTAGCTCTCCCGGGAGGGGAGTCTATGCTGCATTAAGGAGGCCAGTACAGACACTGCCCACCTGGAACACAGGAGCCCAGCCTTGGCCATTGCCCTCAAACAAGAAAAAGGCTTCCCGAAAACAAGGGTGGGAAATAGAGAATTGAAACTGTCTTTCTTGATGTTCTAAAAATTTCCAGAAGTCTTGGTCAGTAAAGCAGCAATCAACTTTCAGCTCGAAAGCGTGAACCTGGAACACTAGAGCATATGGATAGATTTCTTTTCGGTTCTGACAAATAACTTCTCTACCAATTTTTTTTCATAAATCAGTTTCCAAAGGTTGAATTCTGATGTAGATTATTTGTAAGATTTTCCTTACTAAGCACTTCTTATGTTTCCTCCTGTTTTAGAGATTGTATGCGGTATCACTCCATCTGATGGAAAATTTGCCCCTCTGTGTGGTCTATTTGTTTGTTAATGTGTATTTGCTGCCTCCTCTGAAATATTGTAACTTTTTTATTTGCCGTGTTCTGATAACTTCATATTTGTCATTTTGTTAATAGAAGAGGAAAGACTTCATCATTCCACACCAAACAAGTGAAGATAATCTTGGTCAGTCACAATCCAGGTGTTTGGAATTAGGGGCCCATGGGATCAAGGGAGTGTTCCCTGCTACACATTTGCGTGTATGAATCATAGTCTTTCTGTAGAAGACTAGAGCTGCAGGTAGCTTCAAATCTTCTGGTCCAAGGACATGAGGCCCAGAGAGGGGAACTGACTTGCACAAGGTCACACAGTAATCAGGTTAGAGAACTAAACTGTCAGTTGTTGGTAATGAACCCTCTGAGTTTAGAGACTCCTGGCCCAGGGCAAACCAATCTGTATTGGATAAAGGGAATCAAGAGCTGAGAAGGGCTGAGTCTGAGAGTTTGGCTGATTGGGACATAGTCTGGTCTGACGTCAACTCCGTAGGGAGGGCTGCTGGGGCTAGCACCACCTCTTACCCCTTCCTGAGGTCAGGGTAAGCTCCCACGGGAAAGGCTGGATGGCTCCACACTCTAGCTAGCACAACAAACAGATCATTGATGTCACCAGTAACAGCCTCTCCCAGAAGAGCATGCAAGATTTCCCCGTGGTCCCAGTCTGCAGCGGTGTTCTCTGCAGGGCCACAGTCCCTCTGCACACAGTTAAGTTGGTCAATTGTCATCTCTTGTCTTCCTACCCCCCAATCACCTCCATCTGCGGCTTCCTGGGTTCTGCTCAGAGTGACCCAGCTTCACCATGGTGACAGAGGGCCAGAAGCATAACCACACCAAACAGTATATATGCAAGAGGGCGGATGGCCAGAGGACAGAGCAAGAGGGAATGTCTGTCCAAGGTGCTTGAAAATAGTCTGCAACCAGGATGGCATGTGACATGTCAGAAAAGTGATTATGGTCACAGCAGTAAGTCTCTGCTTAAACCACACACACACGCACACACTTTTTTGTGTGATTCCTTAATGCCCTGAAATTCTTTACTTTCAAAAAAATCTTTTTACTGAAGCATCCTGGCTTTCCAGATAGTCCAAAATGGTGAGGCTTTACTGAAATGCTTGAGCATATGAAGTTAATTGAGGAGGAAATTGGCTTAGCTAGCACAGTTTGAGGTCCAATGGGTAAGTGCTAGCCACTTGCCTATGTACAGGCTCTTCCCTCCTCTCTCAGCAGCCAGGCTGTGGTGACAACATCTGCTCTCTGGATACACAGCATCTGGATGCCTGAAAAGATGCCGTGGGTGCAGGGGCGGAAAGAGTTGGTTATGCCTCAGTTTCTTACCTTAGTCATGCCATTGACCTTAGAAAAGGGGTGAGAAACTTTACTTAAAGGTGAGAGACATAGTCACACGTGTATGTTATTGAGGATTTCTTGACCTAAATCCTATGCTTGGTAGAATTTTTACAATGCCAAGAAAATGTTCATCTCGAGTTCTGGCATCCTTTTCAGCAGAAGTTCTGTCCTCTCCCGGGGTGCCTCGTCTCAGAAAAGCGAAGAGTCATTGCTTTTCATTTCTTTGGGTGCTTCTTTTTGGTGCCTGAGTGTCCATCAGGGAAGAACACCCCTCCAGAACTTCTCTGTGCATTCACAGAGTCGTGCTGGGGCCAGCCAGAGTGTTTCCCAAAATCTCTTAAGTATCTGAATCATAAACAGAACTAAATGAGACCTTGGACATCATCTTGTCCACCCGCCTCCTTATACAGAAAAGGAAACTGAAGCCCAGAGAGGTTAATCGACTTGCCCAAGGTCAATAGAATGCACATTTTTTTTTTTTGCATCAGGACCTGTGGGATCTGTAGTAACTATCCTCTTGACCAATTAAAATCCTATCGCTAGCATTGTTTTACGAGAAACAGCCCCACTGGGCCCCGTCAGCAATAAGTCTTTGGAGCTGTCTCAGCCTGCAGTTGCTTTATATAAACTATCCCTTTTATGGGAGTTGAAGCACAGTATGAAAAGGGTTTTTGTCTCATGTTGACCTTGTTTAGTCACATTAACGCACACATTGGTTCCAGGCCCCATTCCATTCTGCGAACATCTTCTGACACGCTGATAGTGCTGAGCAGAGCAAGGTTGGGCTCACTCCTCTGGCAGAACCTCAGCGCTCGGGAGGCCCTTGTGTCAGGGACAGCTGCTTCTCCTGGGCTGGGCTTTTCTCCCCAAGCCCCGCTGCCCAACTGGATCCAGGGACGCCGCCTGAGTCCAACTCCAGTGTCTCTTTTCCAGAAAACGGGCAATGCTGTGAGAGCCATTGGAAGACTGTCCTCTATGGCAATGATCTCAGGGCTCAGTGGCAGGAAATCCTCATCAGGGTCACCAACCAGCCCGCTCAACGCAGAAAAACTAGAATCCGAAGGTAAGGAGCTCCAGGAAGACTTTCTCCAACCAGTTGGTGAAAAGGGAAGGGTTGGGGGATGGAAGGGCATTTTGAGGTGTTGGGGAGGATTTTTGTTTTTTGTTTTTTCATAATACAACCTAAAGAATAAAATTCAGAACTACTTCTAGGTTGCCCTGACAACAGTTACGAAGTCTAGTAATTACTCTTTAATTGTTTAACCTTGGGTTTAACTATATTCAGAGGGAAAGTTAATATTTGTCTAATAGAGCTAGATGATCTCTGCTATTCTTTTCCCTGTATTTTACATAAGAATTAGCAAAGGCTTTGTTAAAAGCTTCCTTTCTTCTCATTACAAAAGTGATACTTGTATGTTGATAGGCAAACAAAATAAAAATCACCTATATAGTCGTGTACTTTTAAAAAATACTCTTCCATTTTTTTACTGTGTTTTAAACAAAAATTAACTCATACGGTCCGCATTCGTTTGGTGTTTTTCGTGACGCTAAAACATGCCATTTGAACTGGGTGGACTCTGACTGGCGGGGCCCCGGCTGGAGACCACCAGTAGGGTTAGTTACTTGCCCACTGTCCTTGAGAGGCCACCCCATCCGTCCACTTCCTCAGTGAAGGCCTTGGCTTCTTCCTGCTTCAGATGCAGGCAGCGTCTGGCCCTTATCTTCTTGAGATGCCTCATTTGGCCAGAGACACCCCTCTACCTCCCTCTGCCCGGGGCTTTTGGTATCCAAAGGTGAGAAGCTGAGTCTAGATCCCTTTTGTGCACAAAGGCAGGGTAATTGGTGAGGCTGCTTGCTGGGTTGCTCTGATACAGCCAGGGACAGGGTCTGTAGCACATGGGCCTGATCCCTCTGATCCACTCCTGCCACTCCCCAGATGACCCAGAATAGCCTGAAGGGGCGGGAGAAGATACAGGAGCCCCTCCAAGTTATGGCTTTTCCCTGGACCAATCCCAAACCCTGGTCCACAGTCATACAAAGGAAAGGAGTATAAAAGTGTGGACGATAGGACTGCTGGCCAGTCGAAGATGCCTCTAGGACCTGGCTCCTACTGAGGAGGGCAACGGGGCTACAGAGACCAGGAAGGCTGTGTGGTTCGTCCTTCTGAGATGCCCTCAACTGAATCCTGAAACAGCATGAAATGCAGCCAAAAATCCTTTTTAAAGATTATTTCCTTCTTCAATGTGTCAGCATAAGGGAAGGGGGGAGTCCAAACATTTCCCCAGTTTGGTCACAGTTCTCTCTTCTGCCAAAACAATTTGGCAGCAGGCCAGCCTGTCCCCGAGAGAGGTGTGCTTATGATTCAGTCCTCTAAACTGCGTTATTTGCTAAATGATAGCAACTTAAAAAAAAAAAGTCAGCTTTTTTAAACTAGCGAAGAGGAGAGAACCAGGAATGAAGAAATAACCACATCCTCTTCCCTGTCTTCTAGAAGATGTCTCCCAAGCTTTCCTTGAGGCTGTTGCTGAGGAAAAGCCCCATGTAAAGCCCTATTTCTCTAAGACCATTCGTGATTTAGAAGTTGTGGAGGGGAGCGCTGCTAGATTTGACTGCAAGATTGAAGGTAAGTCATGGCTGTTCTTCCCTTTACTACAAAAGGGGTATGGCTGCCTGTGCCCCTACTGTGTGCCCTGGGCAAGATGTTGGTTCTGGGCAGCCCGAGAGCAATTAGGAACAGCCAGGCTGTGAGGGAAACTGGGTCAGGAGGAGTTGGCCCCCTGCCCCCACTCCCACCCACTGGAGGTTAGTGCCTTTGAGGGACTTACCTGGGGCACATTTGATATCGCACCTACTTACATCAGCCACTAGATCCCAGTTAAAAGTGGTTTATCATGGACCTGTTTGGCTATGGAACATGTTTAGTGAAATGAGCTTCTGGGAAGCCTATGAATTGGCCACAAGAAGCCCTCAAAGGAAGGTTGGCACGAAGGGCATAGGATGTGGAGTCAGTGGCTCTGCTGCGCATCAGCGGGCTGTGTGACCTTCGGCGGTGATGTGACTCTTCTGAGCCTCGGGCCCTCAGCTGTCATATGATGTCTGATGCCCTGAGTGGCTCTGGGGGTTCTGTGAGACAACATATGTGAAAAGGGGGAAACCTTGAAAGTCTTTTAAAGATGTCATGGAGTCAAGGAGAAAGTAGTGGGATTGGTGAGTGCAGAGAAAGAGCCTGCTATGTAACTTCACACAGGGAAGTTGGGAGCCAGGCATCTGGGCAAACCACTCAGTTTGGGCATCCTCCCCACACTTCTCCTCTGCTGCCAGGAATAATATGGCTATAGAATCCTGAGTTGTTAGAGCTCAAGGGACGTTTTGAGATCTTAACCCAGGCCTCTTCAAGTCTGTGACTGTCATGTGCCAACCAGATGGAGGGTTATCTCCCATTTCAATCTGACCGAATAAAGCACAGAAGTTCATGAAGCAACTTTCCCCAGGCTGCCTAGCATGGGACACAGTCAGAACAAATTGTGCCTCCCACTCTGGAAGATTCTCCAGCAATATGACCAGATAATGCCTTTTGGGTAAAGTAACCCAAAGTTAGGAATGAAAAAACAATTTTTCTCCTGCGTCATTATATTACCAAGATGGCTTGTAAATGCCTACCATAATCCTTCTCTTTTTTCATTCAATTAAAAAAAAGTGTGGATGCGCTACCTTGGCTAGTGTGGAAGTGCCCAGCTTAGGGGTTCTGCTGAAGGCTCTGGGGCCGCTGCTTGTACCTCTCTCCATCACCACTGTCTTTGGGTCTTCTGAGGTTCTTTCCTTTTTCCTTTTTTTATTTTTTAAAAATTATTATAACATAGTGATTATCATCTTTGTGCTTGCTTTTCTCTTGGGGATTATTTTCTTTGTATTTGCATAATGTCAACTGGAGTGCTGAGGAGAAATTAAAGTATATGGATGCTGTTTCGATAAAGACAAAATTCTACTTAAAAAGAATTAGGATGCTTAATTCTTTTTTGTAAATTTTTATTCTGGTTGGGGCTACAATTTTTTTGCTGTAAAAATACTTCTCCAAAAGTTAAGAACAAGTCAATTGTAATTATTATATATTTTTAAAGGTATATTTCGTATATATTTTTAATGCTGAATTTTGCAGAAACGTGACTAATGCATAAAATGGGCCTAATTGACGTGATGAATTTCCAGTTATTACAGGCAGATTATCTGTCTTTGGATCAGACTAAGACAAATATTGCTTTTTTTCTTAGCAATATTATCAGTTCCTCTAACTTATGTTTTATAGAGCTATCAATTTTATTGTTATAATTTATATGCCATAAAAATACACACCTATTTTAAATGTACAACTCAATTATTTTTAATAAATTTATACAGTTGTGCGACTGTTACTGCAATTCAAGTTTAGAACATTTCCATCACCCCCAAAAGATCCCTTGTGCCCAGTTATTCTGACTCTTATTTTTTATTTAAATTTATTTAAGTCCAACTTTTATACAAGATAAAAAATCTTCTTTTCATCCAAGAAGATATTTAGCCCTAGGTGTGTAGTTGGAGTTGGGGTGGTGTTCCAGGTAGTAGTCTTTGTCTGTATGAAGGTGGGAGGTGGTGCAAGCCCCACGTGAATGAGAAATGGGATGACTGTAGAATACCTTATTTGGGGGTTTCATATATTTATATTTATAATATATGCCCATAGTCAGATGTAAATAGCAAAGCAGATGCTAAAAGCTAACACCATAATTTTTTTTCTTTACCCCCTTAATCAATAGAGGTAGTATAGGGTTGCTTGCATGAATTGATAAGAAATTTTGAATAACAGATTCTGCAACTTGTGTTCTCTCCCTGTGATGCAGGATACCCAGACCCTGAGGTTGTCTGGTTCAAAGATGACCAGTCAATCAGGGAGTCCCGCCACTTCCAGATAGACTACGATGAGGATGGGAACTGCTCTTTAATCATTAGCGATGTTTGCGGGGATGACGACGCCAAGTACACCTGCAAGGCTGTCAACAGTCTTGGAGAAGCCACCTGCACAGCGGAGCTCATTGTGGAAACCATGGAGGAAGGAGAAGGAGAAGGGGAAGAGGAAGAAGAGGAAGAGTGAAACAAAGCCAGAGAGACGCAGTTTCTAAGTCATGTTACAAAGACTATTTCTCTAAAGCTCAAAAAATCCAAGATAGTAAAAGCACCTAGTGTGATAGATTATCTAGTTAGGCCATCTGGGGGTTGATTCTTCAGCAACAGCAGTTGATACCTGGCAGCGTTATTGATGGGCATTAATTTGAATTAGCTAGAACCTTAAGATATCAGTGCAGCTGGATTTATTTCACGAAAGAACCAGTAACTTGCCTGACCAGTTGAATTTAGAGAGCAAGTAACCAAAAGAAGTAGTTAACTGGGCAAAGTCATACATTCCCCAACTGAAAGCACTCGTGAAAAATAAGGCCACAACAGGGCTCTGGGCCCTGCAGCCACAGCTCAGCCCAGAGGGTCCCTGGAGATGGAGGCTCTCTCTCCCAGCTCCTGACTCCAGAGCACCAGGTCCTCTCCAGTCCTGCAGCACTTCATTCTGAAGGCAGTTGAGCCATTTTAACTTACGAGGCACATTTTATTCCAAAGTATACTGTAGACATTCAAACTTTTCATTTCCCTCCCCCACTCTACCTGCCAGCTTTTCTGGATCTGAACTTGCCGTGAGTTTAAGCACTAAGGACATTACGCTTCTTAGATTCTGAAGACAGGTCCCCTGCTCATGGATGACTCGGGCTTCCTTAGGAAAATAGAACCTCCTTTCTTCCAAAATCAGTAGGAAATCTAAACTTATCCCCTCTTTGCAGATGTCTAGCAGCTTCAGACATTTTTTTATAAGAACCGTGAAAAAAAAAATCCTTGCTAATGTGCTTTTCTTCTTAAACCAGGATTCATATTTGTGCTGTTATAGAATATCAGCTCTGCATGTGTGGTAAAGATTTTTGTGTTTGAATGTATGAAAAACCAGTTTGCTGAAAGTTAGTCTTAATTATTTATTGGCCACTATGAAACAGATTTCAACTGATGAAGAGCTATAGAACTCCACGTACTTTGGAATCTCCTTCAAGATAGTCTGAGTTTAATACACCTTCATTCTAAACACTCTCCAGAGAACTCTACCTACCTTCTGGGTTCCACGATGTTTTTCTTCTCGAATGTGCATCAGTCAGGCCTTGCCCCAACCGTGAAATATATTCTTAGACCTGATAAATGCACTCAGATTTGCATCTTAAAGAATTTTTAACTTACTTTCACTACATTGGCACTTAAATTTTTCTTTATAAAACTTTTTGAAGGTCATGAACAGAGACCATAACTCATATGCCTAATACAGTTCCTCTGCGTGTGTGTGTAACATTCCAAATACTTTTTTTCTTTTCCACTGTTTGTAAAGTACAGCAATTTAATATTTCAAGGGACTTCTTAGTAGTTCCTTGGGAACCAATTTGAAATTACTTCAGTGCAATCCTACACAGTATCAACATTAGAATTTTGATATAACTTAGTCTTTTGTTATCTTCCATTCTATTTTTATCTGCTTTTTGCTGCTACTTTCAAATTGCCAGTATTTTTCCTTTTTGCTTTTTAAACAGTTACAATATTTTTCATAATAGCCACAGTATTGCCACAGTTTATTATAATAAAGGGTTTTTAATTTGATTTAGAGCATTCAAAGCTTTTCTTCATCACTTTTGTGTTAGACTATAATCTTTATGTGTGTGGGTGTCGCGTGTGCGTGCGCATGTGTGGTGTGTATGTTTGTTTACAGGTTTTTAATGCCTTCTTGAAATTGTGTTAATGTTCTCTCAGTTTATTATGCCATCAGAATGGTAAATGAGAACACTACGACTGTAGTTAGCTCACAATTTTTAAATAAAGGATACCACAGTGCATGCTGTTTGTTCAATCTTTGCAGCCTTCTCTTTCTTTCCCTGCCACCAGTTGTAGATTACCCAGATAGACCTTGGAAATTAAAAACAAACACTGTGCTGCATAAATGGCTTCTATGGTTGTGTTTTAGTAAGGAACAGAATGACTTAGGTAGTCCTTGTTTATAGTAAGTAGCCTAATTTACACATTTAGTTCAAAATTTTTCTTGAGCATCAGTTTAGTTCAGTTACATTCTGGAAGGATATCCATAGTAACCTCATAATGCTAAAATCTACATGACATTTTTAGCATGTGACAAAATCGTCATCATCATTAATATTATTTACCAGGCCTTGGTTTGCATTTGTAACTTTGGTGCAATTTGTTATTGGCAGCCAAGTGCTATCTTTCCATGTCTTAATATTGAAGCATATGTCATCAGGAAACCGTCACTCCTGCTTTATAGGAAGTCTGTTAACAGATATCAGATGCTGAGTTCCCCATGTCTTGAGATGTTCAAACAATATTGTAGATATTCTAGAAAGAATTCAAGATGTGCTGTTAAATGTTGGACTAGATGATTCTGATTCCACAGTGTAGTCTGGAAAGAAACAACTGTCCAGTTAATAAATATTTAATATTTTTCATTTTTTTAAGGCAACCATAATCCACAAATGTTTCTAGTGAGAAATTTATTATTTTTAAAGAAAAGGAATTTTTATTCCTTGCTAGTGAAAAATGTATCGAGTATATTCTGCATTGAGGGAAAAAATACATTTTCTTCCATTCCATTTCATCCCAAACATTTAAAAAACAATCCACTGATTGTTTCTTACATTGCAGATCTTCATATTAAACTTTATTTGTATGTATAACTAAAAAGACATGCTGACATTTGTCAGCCCTAACTTCATTTATATAAAGACTTTTTCTTATCAAAATGTTTGTTTTACTCTTTGCTTCACCTCTCACCTGCTTTTAAAAATCTGTTCTAATGAGTATCAAGGAGATAATGGATAACTGAATTCTAAAGATACTCAATTCTCCACTTTTCAAGAAAACACAATACTACTTTCTTTACCCCTTGGGAACTCCTTCTCTATATTTTGGAAGGGAGGTTAATGTCTGAGGCTCTGTGTCCCCCTGGAACATGGTTAGGGACTGCGTTCCTGGCTCCCTGGTTAGGTGGGGCCTTGTGACTAGCCCTGGTCAGTGAGCTGTGACCAGAAGTGATGTGTGTCCCTGCTGCACCAGAGCATTTAAGTGCTAGTGCAAGACTCTCCATAATGACTGGCAACACGTGAGATAGTGGCTGCTCTATCCACCTGGGTCCCCACCCAACCCAATGGGTATATAACACAAGGAGGAAATAAACCTTTGTTCTTATACGTCACCAAGATTTTAGCATTCTTTGTGACTGCAACATAACCTAGACTATCCTGTTATAAGGTCATCACCATATTCTACATCTGTTCTGACCAATATGGTAGCCACTGGTCATAAGTGGCTATTTAAATTAATTAAAATAAATAAAATTAAAAATTAGGTTCCTCAGTTGAACTTGCCACATTTCAAGTGCTCAGTAGTCACATGACATATACCTTATCGGATAGCACAGATTAGAACTTTTTGTAAAGTACTATCAGCACAGTTCTAGAAGGACTAGGTAGATGGACTAGGAGGAAGAGAGAAACTCCAAATTTTACCTGAAGTGGGCACATCACTTTTCAAATTATTGTGAAATTAAAACTTAAAAGTTTGTGTGAAATCAGTCTGGAGAGTATGGTCTACAGTTTCATCAATTGTATTGGATAATATATACTCAATACTTAGGTTATTTTTCTTGATTCATTTATTTATATATTTTTCACTTTTCAAGACATTTTAAAAGTACCAGTTCTGTGCTTCTCACCACAAAATTTAAATAGACCTGCAATTCACAAGCTGGTTGTGATATGAAACAACCATCTAGGCTTAAAATTTCCAGGGATTTTGGAACTTGGAGCTACTTGTGACAGGGGAACACCCAGGGGGACATATGAGATGATGCAGAGAAGGAGGGAGACAGGGTCACCAGGGCAGAATTGCCTTGACAGTGAACCAAAAGGAAGGCGAGGGGCCAGCCTGACCCTGCAGTCATTTACCTCCAGTGGCTGAACATAACTCCATTTCCAGTGGAATTGGAAACACCAGGAGAGCTATAGCACTTAGAGATATTAAATTTATAGCTGCTGGATGTTTGCAATTTCAGCCCAGAGGCCTTGCCCATGTCCCAAATGCTCACGCATTGCAGGGAGGGCTTCATGTCAGAGACTATAGCCACATGGAAGTGTACAATAAATCTTCACAAGACATTATTTGACTCTCTGGAACTAGATTTCTTCCAGTTGGAGAGAACTAAGGAAGAAAGAGGTTACAAATTAACATAAGTCAATTTAGTCATTCACATTTATTAACTTCTTTTGGGCAGACATCAGTAGCCTCCGATAGCTAAGAGATAAGTTGAGCTATAGGGTTTCTCCACGACTTTGCTCCAGAAGGTCTGTTACAGTGAAAGATAGCCTCAGGCCAAATGCATTTATTAGCAAGCAATCATGCAACCTATTCTGTAAGCTCCATGAAGTCCCAGATGTGTCTCTCCAGAGAGCACCTTACCTGTTCATTGACGGCAGATGCTGCAGGATACTAGGGTAGGATCTAGCTAACCTGGTTAATCAGCCAAGTGGAGTCAGTTCCGACTCTACCTCTTACTAGAGCTGTGTAGCTTGTGCCTCAGTTTCCTCGCCTATAAAATTAGGGTAACAATTCCTCCCTCACAGGTTGTTATAAAAATTCGATGAGCTCATGCACAGTACCTGACCCCTACCGTAAGCCCCTATGCTCTGGCACTCAGAGATGCTAGGATGTGTCAGAAACATACTCCACCCTCAAGGAACTGATTATACTTCCACAGAAACAAGCCAAATATGTGAAAAAGTTGTATACTAATAATAGATGGAAAGAATTATTTAAATTCCACCCACCTCCCAAAAAAGGATTTTGAAACAAAGTGCCTATGCACTTGTACAAAAAATAATTGTTGTCCGTTTAGGAAATGCTACAACTGCCCTCTTGTTCTAAGGGAAAGTTTTAACTCCCAGTCTCTAAATATTCTCCTTCATACTCAAAGGACAAAAGCTCATCTGACCTTATGAGTCTTATTTTCCAATCAAGAGGAAATTTCTCAGAGTTAGCTTGACTTTAAACTAATCATACTTAACCTTTATCCCCAAAAGTTCCCGAGCTTTTAATTGATATTTACAAAGGCTAATTCACATTGACCTGTTTCTGACTGCATATTAACCACAGAACAAATAGGGCTCTGCTAGGCCCTATTTGTTCCCAGGAAAAGGCTACATTGATATCTTTTTTAAATTGTCTAGAAAGCTCAAAACGGAGGCTCCTATTTTCTAGAGAACCAGGAAATCAAGGGTTTAGAAAATAGAAATCTACTGTTGCAGAGAAAAGGCCAAACATGAAGTACAGAAGACGAGCAGTAACTCTGGTCTCTTCAGAACCCCCAGTAAACTGAGAGTAAAGGAACAATAATTTTTTTTTAAAAAGCTGTAAACCCTTCAAAGACAAATATAGGAGAAGACAGATGAAAAAATATCAGAAGTTTGGAAAATGGAAAGCAAACAGATGAGTGGGTAACCGACTTAGAGCACAGAAGCTGAAACCCGACTTCCTGCAGAGGAGGAAGCCAGTAGGAAGGCAGGTCAGCATGCCCTGAAGAAGCCCCAAAAGGCTAGAGACTGGAGGAACCAGGTACCTATGAAGGGGAGCCTCAAAGCCAACTGGGAGATCAAGGCAGAGGTAGGATGGGATAACTAGGAATTAGGCTAGACAAGGGTCCAGAAGCCAGGAGGTCAGTCTGAACACATCAATAGTACCCATGTTGACCAGAAAAGAGCCTGCTCCCAGAAAGGCATTTGCTTGCTCAGGGAGTCTTTAAAAACAGGTAAGCTTCTTTAAAGTTAAATTGGTTGTCCAAGAAGCCAAATCATTTAGACTTTCAATAATGCACCCTCTGAAGAAATGTCTTATCTATAACTATTTAAAGTAGAAGCTCGGTTAACTAATCTCCATTTAATCCAACTTGCCCAACTTAACCCCAATTTTTATTTCCTCTGTAAAATAAATTAACGGATGCCTACACACTCTCTGTTCCTACTAACTGAGTTGTATATTTACCAAGAGTCAATCGGGTTTGTTCTTAAATTATTTATGCCAGTTCTCCAGGTTTTTGCATGATAATGAAAACAGATCATAGCCAATGGGAATCCAGATGTCAGTTATCTTCATGGTTGGTCAGACACCCTGAAACATACACTTGTAGGGCTCTCTGTGAATGGCCAGATGGGAGATGGCAGTGAGGTCACTCCCCACCTTCCTAATTTGAAGATAGCTTGGCCTGTAGTGCAGAGCTGTTCAGAATTACATCCCCCTCCCCATTCCTAATCACAGGCAGAGAAACTAGAAAAGAGAGAGAATAGTGCACTGCAAGGCAGAAAGAAGAGACAGCCTGGCTGCCTTTCAATTTAATGACTGTGCACAATCTCTTGGCCCCCAGTAAAAACATGGCCCAGTGAATTTCACAGATATTAACTAATCATATTACTCTTTCCTCCTCCCTGTGAGAGCCAGATATGTTTATTTCCTTTTTTTTTTTTTTGGTGAGGAAGCTTGGCCCTGAGCTAACATCTGTTGCCAATCTCCCTCTTTTTGCTTGAGGAAGATTGGCCCTGAGCTAACATCTGTGCCAATCTTCCTCTATTATGTATGTGGGTCACCACCACAACATGGCTTGATGAGTAGTGTAGGTCCACACCCGGGATCTGAACCTGCAAATCTGGGCTGCCAAAGCAGAGTGCGCCAAACTTAACCACTATGCCACTGGGCCGGCCCCTGCATATGTATATTTTTGATAGACCCTGTGATAGGTGTTTTTTGGTTTTGGCCACCCAGTATCTAAACACACTTCCTATTTGAAAGGAA